CAGCGGAGTGACAAGATGGATGGGCCGAGATGGGCTGCCGAGAGGCATGTCGAGCGACGTGTGCCTCGAGACGCCGCTGGAGTCGGCTGGAGTGTACCCCGCTGGAGTGTAGTGTATGTACCGCCCTGGAGAACGCGTCTCGCAGTGCAGGCGCCGCGGGGCTTTGGTACTCGCTGACTGGCTGGCGGGCTGGCTGGCTGGCGGGCTGGCTGGCTGGCGGGCTGGCCGGCAGACTCCCGATAAATCTCGATGGACTGCCCGAAGAAAGGCGGGGCATTGCGCTTATAAATATGGCTTCGGAGTGAGTACAGGCCACGCTATAGTGTTGCGCGGCGGCCATCTGTTTCCCGCGCAGACTCGGCCACGCTGCCGCGCTCACAAAGGCGATTGTGCTATAAAGCGACTGGGCCGGCCGCGCGTCACTGTGTGTGTTTGTGCGCACACACACTTGTCTGAGCGTGTAAGTGAATCCTGTTGTGAGAAACTGGAGGTGATATTTGTCCTAGCGCCAACACGTGCCTTGTTTTCCTATAATATCCCCGAGTGCTGCAAGTCGTGCTTTTGTGTGTGCGAGCAGGCAAGCATGGGTCGGTTGCCCTGTGTGTGCTCAGGGGTGTGTAGTGCACACACACACTCACACTCACACACACATGCCCCCGCCCCCGCGCGCATTCACCCGCTCTCTTGGCGGGTCTTCGACCCCCTGATATTACCCTGTTTCTTTCGCGTCGTGTATGCGTGTGCGTGCGTGCGTGTGTGTGTGTGTGTGTGTGGCAAGGTGTTGTGTCGGCCCTTCACTCTGCTGCAGCCACTCGGGTCTTTAGCAAAGAAGCGTGGGAGCTGTGTGTGTTGAGTGGCTGGCGGGGCTGGCGGGGCTGGCGGGGCTGGCGGGGCTGGCGGGGCTGGCGGCGGCTGCGCCCGGGGTCCGGGTGTTGGGGGTTGCTGGCGGGTGCCGATGAGCGTGTCCGTGCTGTCCATAAAGCTTTGCAGCGCGGCAACACGCCAGTCATCCAAGTTGAAGCCAACGTGGGTCTCGGCGTGGTGGCCTCGGCCCTCGGCCTCGGCCCAGCCCCGGCGTTGCCGAGGCGGTGAGGCCGTGGCGAGACCGTGGCACGGGGGCTGACAGCTTCATCGCGGACGGCTTAAACTTTACAGACTGGCCTCTGCGCCGCTGCGCGCCGCTGTGCGCGGCTTGAAATTGCAAAGCCGGCCCTCCTCTGCCGGGCCGGGCACGTGGTCTGCTCGAGTTTGTAATCTGAAACATCCCCGCCGTAACACGGTGGCCCTGGTGTTCGAACTTGCCGCCATAACCTGCCAGGCCTGCCATCCTCGGGACAACTTTTCGGACGGGCCCCGCCTCGCGCGCTCCCGCCTCAAAATCGCCCTTCCCGCCGAACATAAATCAGTGGCGTAGTGAATTTGGCAGTTTATCCGCACCCTCCTCGCCGCGCCGCCGCGCCTCGCACACATGCGTCTCGACTGCTGCAACTTGGGGGACAAATCCCCGGCCTGGTTTGTTTATCGCGCGGGAGAGTAATTTGTGTGCTTTGGGCGACGCGGCCCGGCGGCACGGCGGCGGCACGGCCTCGTCGGGCTCCTGAGTGACGCCTGCGAGTCCCGACCGTCCACCGTAAAAGGTGCGGCAGCGGCGGTGCACTCGTAAAGAGAGCCAGCAACCGGCAGCCCTCGCCGCCGAGCGCCCGGGCAGCAGACAGGCCCGCGCCGCACGGCTGCGCGCCGCCACCAGCATTGCCTACCTCGCAGGCGCCCGCCCCGGCTCGGGCCGGGTCGTGTCAATGGGGCAGCCGGGCGGGCCTTACATTTCAATGGCGGCCGGGTTTAATTGTAACGTCCTGGGGGAGCCAGACGACGGCGGCACGGCGGCCATGCAGTGAAGGCAATGTCCGTCGGCGGCGCGCGTTCGCTAATATTTGAAGAGCGGCGCCGGCGCCCCCACCCTTGCCCTTCCCCAGCTGCCCCTGGCCATTTCACAGCCCCCCCTCCCTGATTTAGCCCCCCCCCCCTTCTTCCCCGCGCCGCGGCGGGCGTGAGGTAGAGGGGGCAGGCAGAGTTGGCGGCCGGAAAATGCCCCTAAATCACCGGAAATGTTCTCTTTATGGGAGAGAAAACTGCGGCGACCGCGGAGAAAGGGGGAAAAATAAAGTATTCCGGCCAATTGGGCGGCCGGGCGCGGCTCGGCACGGCGCGGCCGATGCGAATGGACGATGAAGGGACAGCGTATCGGTGACATCACCCCACCGGGAATAATGAGATGACTGCAGCGCTGCAAACACGTCATCCGGAGCGCTTGTTTGTCGCTCTGTCTCTCTCGCACCCGCATGGAGAGCGGCGCGAGTGCGACAGAGACAAAACGGTTCCTCTGGACCGCTCGGCGGGCCCGGCCGGTGTGGCATTGATTGAAGGAGAGTGGTGCAGCCGGCCGCGTGCACAACGCTCTGTGGACGCGTGACATGCAAATTAGGGTGCAAATTAGGCGACGCGTTCGCGCGTACAAACACAATGTCACGTTCATGTTTCATTCGTGGATAATTAAATTTCGCGCGCGGGGGAGAGATAAGTTTATCTCGCTACGGCCGCTCCGGGCGGCTCGTCACATATTTCACCGGAGCACGCACTGCACACACGCGGCACGCGGCCTGGAAGACGTGGACGCCCCAAATCAAAAACCTGAGAAAGGGGCGTTCGTCCCTTTTAATTGAAAAGCGGTGCGATTCCAATTACCATAAAATTCCAGCCGCGTCGGGGGACACTTTGATCTCGGCACGGGTACTTGGCCGGGCCGCCTCCAGTTTAATTTATCTGCGACTGTCTCCTCGGCCCCTCCTTAGCCTTGTCCAGCGCTGCTTTTTTCCAGTTGGCTGGCCACCGCTCCGCCGCCTCCAGAGTCCGGACTCTGCCCCCGGAATGCAGGCCGGCCTGATGTCATCGTCGTGTCCTTCGTCTCGCCCTCCGCCACATCGCGCGGCGCTTGACCCTGGGGCGCCCTGGGGCGCCCTGGGGCCCTTGCTGGGGCCCGCCGCCTCCGAGGAGCTCGTCAGCCACCCCACTGCATGAACCCGGGCCGCTCACTCTCGACGCACGTGCTTGCCGGTGCCTTCCTTGGCCTGCAGCAGGCGCTGCCGTGGCCATCCGCGTCGCTGACGGCCTCGACGGCGGCCTCCAGCGCGGCGGCGAGGCTTCGCGCAAAAACACCGCGCGCGCTGCAGGGACACCTGCAGCCAAAAACACGGCCTCGCTCGGGGCGGCGCGGTGGCTCGCGGGAAAGAGCGCCGCCGTGGCCGAGGACGTGTAATCCTCTTTGTTGGTGTTTTTGCGCGCCGCGTGTGGACGCAAAGGAGGTCGCGAACACGGTGTGCCAGCGCGCAGCCCGGCGCAGCCCCGCCGGAATGTTTTTGTTGCGAAAGAGCTAAGCTATTCAGGAGTAGTCGCGGTACCCGGCCGCCGGTACCCGCGTCGTCATCTGGCCGACCATTCGCAGCACTCGCCAAAACGGGTGTGTTGTTTTGTGCGAGGGCTCTTGCCTTGGCTGGGGAGGGCAGCTGAGGTAAACGGACTGTAAACAGATGCAACGAGACGACGAGACGGGGCGGGGGTGGGGGTGGTTGGGGCGCCTGCCTCATGAACATAGTGCTCGTCGCGCCTATGGCAGCCGAGCCGAGTCGAGTCGATTTGGGCGCAGCCGAGCCGGGCGCGGCAGTGCGAGGGGTGAGCCGAGCCGCGCGCGGCATGCTCGCACCGGACGCTGGCATCCCCTATACGGCCCCGCCAGCCCCCGCCAGCCCCCGCCCATTCCGGCAGTCGGCGCCCGCCAGGCCGGCGCCGCGCCGCGCCTCGCCTCGCCGCCACCCTGTTGCATGCCGTGGCCGTGTGGCCGTGGGCCTGGCTGGCCGCGGGCCGTCGGCGCAGTGATCGCCCGTCCTATTCACAGCAGCCGGTGCTGGTGGCGCTGGTTGCCAAAGCCGCCCCGGGCCGCCACTGCCGAGGCACCGCGGCGCGGCAGCTTGTTGGTCTCCGCTAACGCCGCGCACCCGGACGTCGCCGACCATCGCGTCGGCCGTGATGGTGCCATGGCGTGGCGGGGGGCGTGGCGGGGTCGCCGACCCCTGCACGACCCTCCGGCTGTACACTGTACACAGTGCGCAGACAGGCGGCGACGCGCGGCGCCCCTTGCTTAATGTTTGGCGCCGCCGCGGCGCAGCGCGCAGCGGTCCCTACTTGTAGTACCAAAAAAAAAGTTGACGCCACATTTTTACTTCATTCTTTTTCAACCGATGTCCGTGAGTATGTGTGTTCGTGTGCGTAATACACATCTTGTCGGGCCGGCCGGCCGCTCGGACCGGCCGCTCGGACCGGCGCCATAACAGGATCCATTTCTTTTATTAGCGGCTGGCGGAGAGGATAAAACGGAGGGGAGGGGGAAGAAAAATGAAAAGGCGCTCGTGCGAACGTCCCCCCATGCCACTCACTTTGCCCGGGCGCGCACACACACGCTCACTCACTCACTCACACGCACAGATCTCTGTCTTTGTCTGTTCTCGTGCGTGTTCCATCAATTACGACTCGCCTCGTCCCCCGCCCCGCCCCGCCCCGCCCCGCCTCGCCCCGCCCCGCCCCGCCCCGCCCCGCCTCGGAGGCCCGGAGGGCGTCTGGTCGGCCGGGCTGCCCCGGACCGTATCGCACTGGTGCATTCCTTGTCTCACTTAATCTTGGACGTCGCAGGGGTCCGGCCGGCCACGCCACGCGCGTTTCCAGTCAATTTGTAATTCGATCCCCAACGAATTACCATGAGTCCTGCAGCCGTCCGTCCACGGCCCGGCTGTCCACCGAGGCGCCTGGCGAGCAGGCAGTCCCGTCGAGCATGCGCGCCGCGCGGCTGGCCCGCCCTGCTGCCCGCAGGCGCTAGCGTCCTTGGTTTTGTTTTTGTTTTGTTTTTGTTCGGTCGTTGTCGTTGCTGACCATGCCCGTCTTGGTGTCCACAGAGACGCAGTCCGCGCGCACGCCCGAGCTGATGATCCTGCCGTCGCCCTCCGTGCAGACCAAGCCCATCGGCAAGAACGTGCTGCTGACGTGCCGGGCCAACGTGGAGAACCTGCTGCTGCTCACCGACATGCAGTGGCTGGACCCCAACAACCGCACCATCCTCAACAACGAAGTGTAAGCGCCCTTTTTATTTATTCTTTTCGAGTGTGTGCTTAGCGAGAAAGTTGCGCCGCAATGTTTGGTTGGCTTTCCCGCAGGACGTACACCAACAGCCCGCAGCGCATGCACACCGAGCAGATGCCCACCTCGCTGGCCCTCATCATCCCCGCGCTCCGGGAGACGGAGGCCGGCGTGTACACCTGCACCGCCACCTACGCCAACTCGGAGAAGCTGTACAAGTCCGTGCGCATCGAGACCATCGGTCAGTCGCATTCCCTTGTCGTCTGCAGTTTGAGACAGCGGACTGATTCCCAGGCTCATTTGCGCCGCACCAATACGGGTCGCCCCATGAGTGCGAGAGAGACAGAGCGACGAAAACGACGCTCAGAATCAGTCTGCCAGCCCCGCGTTCGCGTGCCGTGACCACCTCATTGTTTTACAGTGGCCATCACCTGGGAGGACGCCCCCGAGGAGCAGTTCCCCATCCTGAACAAGGACTTCAAGGTGCGCTGCAAGGTGACGGCGCAGCCCGCGCCCGCCGTGGACTGGACGCGCAACGGCGAGATGATCTCGACGGGCGGCCGCTACGTGGTGGAGACGGACGGGCTCACGATCCAGCGGCCCGTCGAGTCCGACGACGGCGTGTACACGTGCCGCGCCATCGTCATCCAGACCGGTGAGCTGGCGCAGCGCGACATCCACGTGGAGGTGCACACGCCGCCCACCTTCGAGGACATGCTGGCCTCCACCAAGATCGTCGAGGGCGAGACGGCGACCATCCGGTGCCGCGCCCGCGGCAAGCCCAAGCCCACGTTCGCCTGGATCAAGGCCTCCACGCAGCAGAACATGGCCTCGGCCGACCGGTTCAAGGTCAACCCCCTCACGGGAGACATGATCATCAGCGGGGTGAGTAGCAAGACAGTAAAGTATATGGTCTTTTCTCTTGCTTTGTTTGGCGAGGAAGGCAAACACGAACTTGTGGCTCCAGGTTCGGCCCGAGGACAGCGGCGACTACAAGTGCGTGGCCAGCAACAAGGCGAGCACGGTGGAGAAGACGGTGCTGGTGAACGTGCTGGTCAAGCCCAGGATCAGCGACTTCCGCAACCTGTCCGTGCCCATCAACACGGAGGTCCGCATGGAGTGCCGCGCCTCCGGGAACCCCCTGCCCACCATCACGTTCAAGTGAGTTCACGTCGCACCGCGTCGCACAGTGGGCCACGGTGGAGGCGGCCAAAACTCTAGTCGCGTTTTGAGCTCCACAGTCGCTAAATGGGACTCGAACCGAGCGTGTGACCCCACCAATGGATTGTTGTCCGAACGAGGAATCCATTGGTCGGGTCACATGCTCGGTTCGAGTCCTGTTTAGCGACTGTGGAGCTCAAAACGCGTCTAGAGTTTTGGCCGCCTCCACCGGTCTTCTGACCCAGTATGCGTCGGAGTTGTGCGCAACTGCGCCGCTCGGCTCGGTGCGTTCGGTGCCTTGACGTGGCTTGTGTTGCAGGAAGCTGAACCAGCAGGCCAGGCCCTACGTGCTGGGACGCCAGCCGACCGACCAGCGCATCGAGCTCACGTCCGTGGAGGACCCGTCGCGCAGGGAGGCCGTGGGCACGCTCCGCGTGCTGCGCCTCGGCCGCTACGACGACGGCCTCTACGTCTGCATCGCCTCCAACGAGGTGAGCCACTTGACCACTGTTCACTGTTCATGTACGAGTCTTGCAGTGTAGAGCGTCGCCTGAAATGTCATCTCTCTTTTGGCAGGGTGGCGAGGCTACAAAGAACGGCCATCTTTCGATCCAGTTCCCGCCTTCCTTTGCAAGCACCCCAGTTGATGTGTGGTCTTGGGGGCAGAACCCAGTGAATATTTCATGCCTGGCTGAGTCGATCCCCAATGCTACAATCACGTGGAAACTGAATGACCGTGAAGTTGAACGTGATCCCAATGTTCAGAAATTAAGCTCCGGTCCTCAAAGTATAATTAAGGTAGTTTTTTTTTTCTTTTGTGTGTTCTCTCAATTTGGCGCCTTGGCTGTGAGCACTATTTTTCACTGTGCTGTTCCCTCTAGATCACTCCACGTCGTCGTGAATACTATGGCGTGTACAAATGTATTGCATCAAACATTTTGGGAACTGCTGAGACAACCATCACTTTGAAGGAGGCTATTCCACCATCAGAGGTTCTTCAAGCCAAAATCGAATCCATGACAGGTACAAACGCTTTTTGAAATCGGCCACTTTTTGAATTTATCATTTGTTGCACCTTTTGCTGTCATAAAAAAACATTTTCTCCCTAACAGCCACAACTATCACATTCTCCTTTGTTGGACCTCAAAATTTCGGTGGCCGTCCTCTTAAGGCCTATGCTGCTCAAATTAAGAAATCAGCTCAGCCCTGGGAATACGCCTACAATAAGACTTGGCCAGCAGGTATGTCCTTATCCTCTAGTCCTTTCTGTTTCATTTTAATGATAAAAATGTCAAACACCTCGCAAAATTTTGTCCATCAGATTCAACATACGTTTTGGAGAACCTGGAGCCTCAAATGGAGTATAACTTCCGATTTGCTGCTGCAAATGAGGTTGGCTTCAGTAATTGGGCTGCAAATGTCATTATCACAATGCCTCGACGAGCTGCCCCAGAAGAGCCTCGCATCTTGAACCCCATTATTGAGGAAGGATACGTTGTCTCGCCTTACTCTGACCGAATGGAGGTCCGCTGGAAGATCCCCGCTGACAATGGTGAAGCTATTGACAAGTATCAGATTCGATACTGCCCTGTAAGTTGATCCAGATAACATTAGTATGTTAAAATGACTGTGAAGCTTATTTCAAAAACTTGTGGATATGTGAGTAAGGAGTAGATCAGTAAACTATGTTATGTGCTATTTCAGGTCAAAAGGGATCTAGCTGGTTACTTTGTAGAGACCGGAGAACTTTGCCAAACCATGCACATTCCCCAGGAGCATTCTTCTGTTGAACTGAACATGCTGCACCCAGATACTTTCTATAGAGTGGAACTCCAAGCGCACAATATGATTGGCTACAGTGTTCCAGGAAGGGCTACCTTCAAAACAGCGCGCGGTAAGTTTCAACTTCCTATCATACAAAATTGTACTCTTTTATGGTGTGTGAGTTGTAGGTCCTTGATTAAAGTTGGTGCTATCGCTACCACAGCTGCTGCTGCTATATGACTTATTAATGATAAAATATAGCCTCATGATATAAGAACACAGCCCAAACTATTCCTTTTTTTAAAATTCAGCCTTAAGTGCTCATACTGTTAATCCAGATTTTAATTTAAACTGGATTAAGAAAAATTAAAAAATTTATCACTTTTTATTATTATTATTGACATGTTTCTTCTTTTTATTTGCTCCTCAAACTGATCAGAGTATCACAGCTGTGATTGGGAGGTAACACTAATTTACCATGTTACAACACTAACCGGGCGTATTGTGTTGATTTTTTGTTTAATTTTTGTGTGTTATTCTCTCCATCTAATCTACTCTGTGTGTTATCGTCTCAGCATGCATTAATGTTAAACATGATTTCCTTGCCCTAAAATGCAATGGTTCTCTTGTGCTAGCATGGGCATAATGTTTCCCCCCTTTTGGTCTAAGTTCCGGAAACATGATGGCAGTATGTAGCAGCTGATACAGTATCTGATGAGCACCATTTTATCTACACGATTATGGTCTTGGTTTCTCATAATGATACTTTACAAACTGATTTATATACTGAGGTCAATGGAAACAATTTAAGTTTCTAGACCTCTTGTAGAGCATGGTGTGACGTGCTTCATATCAAATCGATGCCAAGCTTTCCCAGTCAAATCGAAGCTTAAGAGTTCTCTTGAAGCATTGCTGCCTTTATGATTGCTGTAATTCTGTTGTTAAATGCTGTAAGAGTGTTGTTTGCAGAGATTGAGTATCATATCGTACTATTTGATTTACGTCTTCCTTTTCCCTTTCTTTTTTTTGAATTCGATTTCTCTAGATTTATCCGCTACAGGAATATTTTATGGAGAACACAACAACTATGTCACTGGGGGATCAGCGAGTCAACGATATTCAGTGGCTCTGATGCTTCCACTTATTTTCATCTTGGCAACATGCAGTTTGCACCAGTAGAATCAATAAGATAGTTTTATTCCTCATGGATTTTTTAAAAAAGTGACGAGTGATACAAGTTAAAGTGACTCTATAAAGTAAATGTGTGGTGATTTATTTCTTCAAGAAAGAAAGTGTGATGAAGATTAATTATGAAATGTGTGAATGAACATTTGTGGTGGCTTCTTGGGTCATTACAGTATTTTTGTCACAAAAACTTTTAAAGCATTTTCAAAGTATAGCACCACTAACTGTGGTACTGTTTAGTGATTCTAGTGATAAATGATTTTAAATAAACTCTGAGTAGGATGCTGAATGCTGCTTCATGAAGACCAAGTACAGTACATACTTGAAACAAGAGGGAAGAATATGTGTGCATACAGGAACAAACAATATGAGAAGATTAAACAAACAATTGAATGGGGATGAATGGGGTGTAAAAATTAAAATCAAGAAGAAGATCTAGTACATTGTAAGAGCAGTGAAGTAGTTTGCAGTCCCAAATAGCAAATCCTATTAAATGAAAATTTGACTTCAGATCCTAAAAAAAGAAAATGGAAGCCTTTGCTATTTCAGTGCACAAATAAAATTTGTGATTAGGCTAGGCAGTATTGTGTGCCTACTTAAGGGTATCAGATGTAAATATGTAAAAATAGGGCAGGATTTTCATTAGCATATACAGTATATGAGATGACATGGAAAATAATGTAACATAGGGATTGTGATTTTCAAATAGCATGTGCTTGGTGGAAATATCTTTTATTTTTGTCAAAACAGTATTCGATTCTCCAATTTGATTCTAATCCTATACATAATCAAGTTGTACTGGATTGTGACCTATGCTGAAGATAAGAATGTTACCCTACTTTCCCTTTGACATAAACTGTTATTTATTCATTCAAGTAGCCCTAAAGCTATGAATAAATTATTTCCACCTTCATATGTTAACTAGTAGTGAAGACTCAGTACAAACAATGCAGAATAGTCCCCGCGTTGAATTGTGGACCTTCTTTAAACTCTGCTTGTAGTTCTTCTGGAATCACCTATAACTGATTAATTTGGAAAGAAACCTGTTGCAGTTCAGTTCCCTTTCAGTATTGAATGAAATTGTTTTGCGGTGGTGGATGTACTCAACAGGTGTGGGAACAATTTACTACCTAGTTTGTATTGTGGGAAGAATGTGTTTGCTGCATGGTCAAAATTTAGTCGATGCAGGTTGTGTGTGCCTAGAAATTTATTGTGTTAATGCATGCCATTTGTAGTAATGTGACCCAAAATTATATTTAGATTGTAAACTACTCATTCTGGAGAGGATATTATATTCACATCTGAATGTAAGAGATTCCACTTCCACTTGTTATTTGTTTTTAAGAAGACTTCAAAAATATTTTTTTACTCTTAGATTGTTTATTATTACATTACTTTGACTTAGATAAGTAAGATAATGTAAATCATTTTGACAAGGCCTAGCTGCTTAGTATCCTTGAAGATCTTTTCTTGCACTACTAAGACAAATAAGTAATACATAAAAAAAAATTGGACTGAAATTTGAGATGGTTTATCTTTTCAAAAAAGAAAACCATCACAGTCCATAAGTTCTGCAAGACTCCTGATCTTACACGACGATCAAACTTTAACTCTCAAAGTTGTCATAGAGAAAAAGGCATTTTATTTTCCTTACATGACTTATCAAGCATAAATGAACTAAACGTGTTTATGCTAACAAAAAAAAAAGCTACATCTCTATTTTCGTTGAACCTTGTAAAGTTTTCTGAAGCTCAAGATGGATGCTGCGCTCTGTGGTGTGTGCCCAACAACATCACTTTAAAATAATATGGCTTCCTTTCATTTGAGGGTTCATTTTTTTTAACACACTGCTCATTTGCACTTGAAGTGTTACAGTTGACCTTTTGCAGAACTATTATCTTAACCATACTTTAGATAACTTTAACTGACTGGTTAGTTTTTTAAGCATATACTTAAAATTCTGTTGATAATTTTTGTGATTATCTAGTGTTTTAGTGGAAATAATGTGAATGTTTTGGATGCTGGAGGTACAAGCATAATCTCTTTCTGAATTAATTCTAGTGATTAACAATTGGTCCGATTTCTGTTCTTAGAAAGCCCAAGTTTAGGCTGTCCTCAAGCATACTTTCAAAAATTGGTTTCTTTTTCAAAATAGCAAAGCATGCTGAGGGGCCTAAACCATTTCTCTTAAGACCAACTGTACACTTCACACCCTAAATTCACAGAAAGCTAGCCACTTGCACCGTAGTAAAGGATGTAGCTCTAATTCTCTCAGGTGGGCTAAAAATTACAATGATGCATGATTGTTCGTTCTATGTTGGGTTCCTTGAATCTTGTGGTTACTTGCTTGGGGCTTTTTTGCTTTCTTCAAATTACATTCTCTACTTTGGTCATTATAATTTCTATGAAAACTAGGTATAAAATATGATTGTTATGTGTACCCCCTCTTCCTGATTACTTTTTTAAAGATGAAAAGCAAATGAATGAATTGTTAATTTATAGTGTACCCTTTGTTGAGTTCTTGACCGAGATTTGAGGATAAGTAGAGACAATAAAATCGCACATCTCATTGGCTACTCCTTACTCCAGATGAGATTTAGTCCCAGGTGGTATTCATTTTGAGTAGATACCAACATCATCTTGTGGCAACATAAGTTTCTGCTTTCAATTTTTCAATTTATTGGGGTGAAGTGAGAAGGAAGGATGACATTATTTGCATTTGCTTGAAAAATTTATTCCTTTAACATGTGTGTTGTGCATTATTGCTTCATGACCAGAGAACTGGTTTGTTTTTATGCGCTGGTTTGGAGAGCACTAAACAATCTTTGTAAAATGTTACCAGATGTGCAAAACTTCATACTTTATGCAGTTATTTATGAGCTAATATGGTTTGATATCTTTGATACATTGTGGATCAATTTAAATCAGGAGAATTTATTATCATTCTGGAAAAAAATCCAGATTATATTGTTGAGAATTGTAGTGGCGTATTCTATACTCTTTGAAATAATTTTATTTGAGATTCATTTGTTTGGAAGGCTGTTTCTTCTTCTCGCAAATACGTCTCCATTTCAAAGCTTTCAAAGTTTCTGGGCACATTTCCAAGAGAACAGGAAACAACGTGTTCCCTTTAGTGAACAAAATTAGTTTAAGAAAAGTGTTGAACCATTGAGAACTTTGAGATGGAATCCTGCTTATGCAGCTTAATGAAGAAATAGTGTGTCGGGCTATTATTTCCATTATAACATACAAAATGTAATATATTTGAGAGTTGACCTTTTTTTGTGAGGATAATTTGTAAAATCAATAATTTTGGTATGAAACATATTGTACAGCATTAATTTTGAAACAAAGTGTACAATAAAAAAATATTATGTCTATACTCGTAGTTGAAAGTCAATGCGCTGTCCCAAAGGTTTTATAATCCAAATCGCATCATCAGGTGAAGTGGAAGAAGGGCAAACCTAGAGGTAAATATTGTGTACAATGTGATTGAATGGTCATGTAAGTAATAGCCTTCTCCTTGCATGATAGTTGCTTTACATTTCTTTTCTAGTTGCATTGCATGCATGCAAGTTTTAGTGGTGGTGGCATGACCTTGTAATTTTATACCCCAAAAATGTTTCATCTTCTTGCCTTGTAAGTTCAGATTTGCTTGCCTTGCCAAAGGATCTAACTTGCATTCAATCATGGACGCACTGCCTATCATTTGTGTTTCCTGCGCACTTATTGAGTGTCCTAATATGTTACTCACAAGTTGAAACTGTGCAATGCATTCTTTTGAAAAACCTCAACTGCAGTCTTTAAGTTTAAGCTATTCTTAGTGATTTTAATAATTGGTCTCTTTGGAAGAATTTCTGAAGACACTGAGGGGATGAATCAATCATGCCTGTTTATTATAAGTGTAACTCTAAGTGTAAGTGTAAAAAACAGATTTGATTATGTTTACTCCACACAATGTGTCACCTGAACACATATTATAGGTACAAACGTCAAACATTCTTGCCTTTCAGTTACGTACCATGATAAAATATTTGTTAATTGTTTTTTCTTTCCTTTTTTTGCATTTTAGATGTTAATGTTTTAGAACCAAAACCGTAACTCTCCCCAACTAACCAGAAACTATCTACCTCCTCACATCTTTTAAAGACATAATTTGCATGCAACTTTAATTTTCCAAGATGGAACTCCCACCTGCTGCAATCTACAGTCTCATTTTCAATTCCTTGTTCTGTGTATACATACAGTGGTTTCCTCTCATTAGGCTTTGTTTTAAACTTTGTTTTTCTTGTTTAATTTGCCAATAGAAGTGGTTTAGAATGTTCTTTTATAAGTTAGCACAAGTCCTCAGCAACGTGAGACTTACTTTTGTATTTTCTATAGAAAATCATACCTCCTTCATGAAACCCATAATCTTTTTAGGCTCGTTCCTCATCCTAAGAAATTTCTTTTCAGTACGTTTTTCGTGTAACTTAAACCAACTCACAAAAAAACATACAAAACCTCTCAATCCTACAACCAAAAAAAAAATGAGAAGGCATACCAAAAAAAAAAAAAAAAAATTACCCATTGCTTCTATCCTTTTTTAAATATTCAACTTCTGAATTATTTGTGGTACCTTTAAGATTGACGTTTTTATTTGTACTCTTTGCATCCAGTTTAGATTTATTCATTCTGTGTATAGTGTTTATTTTCTTTCTGTTCAGGATGGTTTAATTTTAAGTTGGTGCTGGTTTCAGACAGATGCTTCCAATTTAGGTTGTAGATACAGCAAACAAATATTGTTTTCTTTTTGCTCGTTTTCTTCAACACGGATAAGAATATAAAAACTAACAGCAGAGGCTTTGTGTGAATCATCTGGTGCTCCCTTCAGTTTACTACCTCTCTCAATCAGCCCTTTGTATGAAAACTCATCCATCTGATAGGCTTTTTGCCTCAAAAGACCTCTGTCTTCTTGTTCCCAGCATTAAATTTCAGACCTTTTTCTAGATGCATGATAAATAAGTATACTGTTCTTGATATTTACCTCAGCCATGCACTAATGAGCGGTGTGTTCGCAGGAGCAGATCCACATGTAACTGCTGCTGAAAGCCTTTTTATGATGAGCAGTGGTGTCATCGTCGGAATCGTTGTGGCTTCCTTGTTGGTGCTTCTTCTGCTGATTGATCTATTCTGCTTCTGTGTAAATTCAGCGGGTAAGTTTTTTTTTTAAAATTAGTAATTTGTCTATTTTGTTTTGTACGGTGACTTCAAATATGATGGTTTTTCAGGACTATTGATGCTTGTATGTGAATCATTCAGAGGAAAACCAAAAGATGAGGATGCAAAACTAGGGGGGTAAGTTACTGCTCTCCTCTTAATAACTGTCCTATTTGTTCAGTCTGTGTTGCTTTCTTCTTTCACAATGAAAATCTTTCGCCTTAAATTTTTTCTTACTGATATTGACAGTACATTAGTTTTTTCATGTGTTACATCAACAAAACACTTAATTTTACTATCAGTATTAGAATTAAACTATTATAAGCAAGGGCTTTGGATAAACATTCACAAAACTTGCTTGCGAGCAAAACTACCTAAGAAGGAAGGTGCACTGATTAAGAGTGTCTTTTACACTTCATTTGGGTTCTGTTGGTACTGTATGAAAGCTGCCATTGTTTTGGTTGGTGGTGGTCTAATCTTTGTGTGTGGGTGGCAGCTTGTATGGTTGGCGGTTCCCCCTTCCCTATTGCAGTAACAAAGAGGGCAGCTCTACAAATAGCTACGGTTCGGGCTCTGAGGTGGACAAGCTACCTGATGCCAGTCTTTACATGTAAGAATCTCTATCTGCATGAAAATGCTTCAATGCTTTCTGCCTGCATGTGTGTTCAATGACAGACACTTCACACATTTAAAGAAACTGGGAGCCACTCCATATGCTGCGATGCGATCACTGTCGACTAAGAACCATTTTCCTCACTCACCACGTACCAACTTTGCTTTCCTATAACTGATAAGACACTTTCAACTAAACTACTGCAGCCTTCCTATAGCAGCTATTATAGTTTAATTTTTGGGTGATGCTCATGAAGCTAAAATACCTTGATGAAGCTAGATGGAGTCAGCTGATGGGTACTTCCTATCCTGCCACATATCCAGATCCTGTACTTTCCTAATATGCTATAAATGTTTCCCTACCTCCTTTTTATCAAATAAACCCTGATATGTTTGGTACTGGAAATGGCTTGTGCAGCAATGTTGTTTTGCTCATTCTTGGTTATAGCTACATGTAGAGAACTATTGATGGACTTCTCTGAGATTGTCCACATGCAACAGTTTTGGTGCTTTCTTCACCAGTGCTGCTTTGTTTATTGATTTCTTTAGCACTTTCCTGTTGTATTTTTGTTCCTTTGTTACGTTTTGTATTAGTCTTACTGCAAAGCCTTGTCTTTTGTTTTCAGTGAGGAGAAGGAACCTTTAAAAGAAGTTACTGGCATCAATGGAAAAGAAAAGTTGAGCATTGAGATAGTACCTATGGTGGATAACAAGTAAGTAGGAGCTGAATGACATGTTCATGTTGTTTGAACTCTTCTAGTTGAATAATTACAATTCCAATTTTCATGTGCAGCCTGAAAAAAGACACCATGGTCGACTATGACTTCAAGAATTCAATTGCAAGAACTGGATTTGTGGGAAAGGATTCAGCAGTCTAATGCATTGGTGCAGTTACTAGTGAGAATCGTACAAGAAAATCTTTCATTTTAAAGAGATATATGGCGCATTATTGTAACGCTTAAAAGCGACCATGCATCAGACAGCATCAACTCATCTTTCATTCCACCTCATAGGAGAGCTAGTTATAATTTAATCCACATTAGATGAACAAAACGCATCCTGGAAAATGATTATATGTATGAAGTTCAATCCTCTTTGTAACATAGATTTTTTTTTCATAAGAGATTGATTAAGTTATATTAATTACACACAAATGAATTTTATTCATGTTCTGAAAAGCTTGTGACATCACACATTTTTAACTTGAGATGCTGACATTTTTAATCTTTGCAAGTGTGCTAGTATAAATATTTCTGACAAGAATAAGCTTTGAGTGGTGAACAAATAGCTTGAGCAAGTTAAAAGTTGAGAACTTCATCAGTTCCTCTATTAATCTCGCTGTTGCACATTTCATTCGAGTATTGAGGACTAACTTCTATTTTAATGAACCAGCTTTCATATAAATCTTTAGATCTACTATAGTTTTAAGTTAAGATGACAGTTTGGAGTGAAGAGCCCAATTAAAATTATTGTCGCTCCTACTCCAATGCATAGAGGATTTATTATTATTAATATTATGAACAACTGTGACATTTTTTGTAAGTAGGCTGAGTTGAAGCTAGCGATCTGCTGTACATAAATGGAGGAAAACAATATTGCTCTCTTGAACATTTAAGTGAACAAAAATGGTCACTAAGGTGTAAGAGAGATCCTTGCTATGAATCTATTTTACATAGAATTCCTGCATTAATCTAATTTTCAAAAGACCAAGACCACAAACTAGGTGGGTGAGGGGTTCCTAAGAATGCTTAAACATCCTATTGCTTCCCTCCCTATTTCATTTTTCATCAATCTGACTTTAAATGGACAGAAATTCTTGGCAACTTCAGAACTGTTAGACCATACACCAAAAAATATTGAAACTTTTTACTATTATGTATCACTTAATAAGACTGCTATTAATGATCATATGTGGTCCATCGAAAGCTTTGAAGATTCTTGTCTTTGTGAAGTATAGCTCCTAAGTAAGTCACCATACAACTGTACATGACTGATTAGTTATAGAATGAAGTCAATGTGAATTTTGAAGATTTAAGATAGGGAAATAACAAAGTGCTTGTCAAAAATAAAGTGGGACCTATGGAACTGACTTTTTGAGAGCCTCAGGAGTATCTGCTTCCACACCTTTCTACAATATTGAAATTCATGTAAAGAGTGATCAAGTACGTATTGAATAAAATATTAAAACAGCCATTCATCACCTAGATTATACCATATGATTGGGAAGTTTGTAACTTTTGTACTTAATATTTATTTCAAAGATAGTATAACCTTTCATGCAGAAGCTTAGAAATTGTGAGCCTGCAAAACACCTTTATTATACGTTAAGTTTCATTATTGTGATTGTGATTTTTAATTTATTCTTGCCTTTAACTTATGCTTACTGTTCAAACCAGCTATGCTTTTGCTATGTTGTGTCCTGTATTCATCAGTGTGTCCATGTCAGGTCAACTGAGGACATTGCAAAATTACTTACTACTCTTTCATATTTCATTTGTGAGTGTCAACAATGATCTTGTCAACAATATTCAGACAAATTAAAATCCAGAACCTGGCAAAAATTACAAACCTACAAGTATTGACTTATGTTTTCCTCACACCAACCAGAACATTACCATGAACATGAGAGGCTAGACCAAGAATGATCTTATGCCAATCTTGCACCACACAACCGTCCGTCCTAAATACCTTGAACCACAGGTTGACTCACGGATGAAATATTGCTCATAGACAGAAGTAAACAAAAAAGGAAATTAAAAGGCATGTCAGGGTCAATAAAGATAAAAGGCTGATTGTTTCATCTATTTTAATTTTAGACCCTTATTATAAAAGACATAAATCTGCTCTCAGAGTTCCCTCAGAAATAATTAGCTATCATATTAATTCTTTCTACGAACAAGATTAGCTTAACCACACATTTGCATTTTGACCCTTTTACACGCAAAATATACATCTTAACACACCTATAAAGCATTAAATGGGACAGTACAAGGTCCTGTGGATGTAGTAACGAGCACATAGGGGCACCTTAAGGGGTAAATTATTTTGATTTCACTACCTTATCGACAAACTTGCGGAGTTTGTCAGTGTCCTGAAGACCAATTAATTTATCCTCTACTTTACCATTTTTCATGGCTATCAAAACAGGAACGGATCCGATCTGTTGGACAGATAGTGAAGACTCAGGACATAAGAAATTTTACTAAGATGGTCAAATAAAATCAGGCAAAAAAATGACATAACACTTACATCATAATCCAGGGCTAGATCAGTATGTTCATCAATATCCACTTTAGCTAGTATAACTTCACCCTTCCTCTCTGCAATAACAGACTCAATCCTGGGTGTCAACATACGACAAGGATTGCACCATCTGTGAACATGGAAAATAATAAATAAATGTCAGTCTAGATTGAAAACTAATAAAAAATGACGTCACTGATAGGAGATTTCGGGGGTGTCACGATGAAACAAGCGGATGGTACAAAATTCTCTACTTGGTCTAAACAAATATAGGTTATGTACCCAACATTACAGGTCATATTTTTCAGTTTTAGCTCAATATTACACAGACACTTACGTTGCAAAAAAGTCAACGATGACAGGGACTTTGCTGTTCTTGACCCTTTCATCGAAATCCTTCATGTCTTGTACATGAAACACCTCAACCTGAGGTGCTGTGGAGGCGAGCCTCTTAGGAAGAATGTAGCAAGCGTCTACAGTTTCACGAAAGACACTAGCAAAAATGCCATTTTTTAAGAACTTAGTGGCAATCATGTTAGAATGATGATTTGCACCTCTTTGACAAATGGGTAATGAAAAGAAACAACAGATAAACTGCGATGTGCGGTGGTGTATAGCAGTAGGCACGGCTCTGATAACCCCACTTCACCTCTCTCCCCTCGCCCCCCTTCTCCCTCCCTTACGGCCCCCTTCCCCTCCCCTCCCCCTACAGCATCCCCGCGCGAGTTTTTGAAGCAGTCCGAGCAGAAGTCAGTGCAGTGGCGAACTATTCGAATCGTTATCTTCTAATATCACGCCTCCGCACTGTGATTGCGAGGGTAGAATTTTGTGGGACAAGCAGTATCGAGAAGCATCTCTTATTTTCGTTTCAGGCACAAAGCAGGTTTAAAAACTAAACAATCTTTCGCAACACGGTAGAAGAAGATGACTCCTGCTTCTGCCAAGAGCACTCTCACTGCAGTCTTGCTTCAGTCTCAATTTGCTCTGAAGAAAATGCAGGGGACTACAGTTGAAGTCATCACATGCACTAATCTGACCTTCTCTCATTTAAAATTTCATTGCGTCACGAAAGAAATAGTTAAGTGGGAAAATTAAATGGTTTCTTCAAGATAAGCCTTACCTATAGTTGTCCCTTTTATAATCTCTTTTATGTTTTTCTTTATTTTCATACAATTATGTCTTTATAATTTGCAGGTTGTTGTTGATCCTTTGACTCACCGACAAATGAGGAGCTCTGTTATCCTGGAGAAAGTGGCGAAACATATAAACAAGGTTGATGTGCAACATGTGTTGCAAGTGCAGCACCAAATAATTGCTGAGGAAATGGTGTTGTCCTGAGAAATACTGGACCTAATAAAATAACCCACAGATTTAGTCTTTCAACTATCAAGAATATTCTGAACATATGACTTGTACGCAGTTTCATATGGGATCCAAACATTTTTTTTCCGCCTTCATGTGGAAGATGGACTACTGAGGCACTAACTAATTGCAGTTTGACTTTCCAAAGAAATGGTAGGTTCCACCCTGAGCTTCTCTGTTGTTAAATTATAGTCGGCTTACTCTTGACAACACTTCATGTTTGAATATTTTGGGGCATAAGACTGCTAGCGTCTCTTAAGTGGTTGGAGGAACGGACCATTAATTATTTTTTCTCCATTCATTCCCTTCAAAAGGGGAGGCGATGGATTGATTTATTGAACTGTAACGCTGACCCCTTCTAATTGACAATTGCTATACCTTGGGATGGAGTGCGTAATCATTATATTGGAATTGTGAACATATGACTTTGTGTCAATGAGAACACTCCCAAGAGGGAATGTCGAATAAATGTCAAACTGAAAAATTTCCAACAAAATAAATTAACTATTGAACAATTTATTCCAACAGCACATTTGCATGTACTTTGCCTCGCGGTATGGTACCTCAAATGTCTTTCCATGCAAGCACATGTCAGCAGCTCGGGCGCAACTGTTTACAACTGCATTCTTGGAGCAACCTCTACTCGCAAAGAAGACGAAACACTCTCGAAGCATGACTAGGAAGGTCAAATTGACTTCAAAATTATGCCTGTTTGGTCGAAAATTGACAAAAATGGGTCATACTGACATCAAATCACGACATAGTGAGCCCCCCTCATTGCTTGAGATCCTCTACTTCCTGTTGGCAGTGTGAGAGACACGTTGTCACCCTCGCAGTCAGACCGGGTCCTTCAGCTTGTCAATGGAGACTTGCCATTCGCACTTCATATCGACCTCTCTGAGTCCACTCGTACGAAAAGCTGCGGTCGTGGCGTGGCGTTGCGGCCGCATTGCCGGGCATTGCCGCGCGAGGGGCGGGCGGGGCACGGCAGCGCAGGGCGGAGTCCTCGCGAGGCACAATGGCAGCGAAGCTGGGCCTGCTCCTCAACCTCACCGCGCGGATCGCGACGGACTGCTGCTGGGCGGACTCGCCCGTGTTCCAGGTTCGTGGAACACACTGCTAAAACTCAAGTGTTACACTGGTAAAACTAAGGCGTGCTATTACGCCCTTCGTGAAGCGTACAGCCAGTACGCCCTTCTTCAAGCGTACAAGAGTCCATGCGCTCCTTTCTTCCTATCTAAATGCATGGGGGAGTTGCCTTGAAGCGTAGTTGTACGCTTCAAGAAGGGCGTACAGTCTTGAAGCGTAGTTGTACGCTTGAATAAGCGTACAACTACGCTTTAGTTTTACCAGTGTTCTCCTCTATCGCGTTGAAATCGATTCCTCGGTGCACTCTCAACATCTTATGATCGTTTTTATACGTATTACGATGGTTTTTCATCGTAAGGTACGCATAAATTTGCACATACGTAATATGCATAGATTTCAGCGTAAGGTATGCATGATTTAATCGTATTACGCATGGTTTCTTCATAAGGTACGCATGATTTCATCGCATTACGCATGAATTTCATTGTAGTACGTATGTTCTCATTTCAACGTAAGTTATGATGACCCTTTCATCATAAGAATCTGAGGGTGTGAGTTCCAAGCGCCTGCGAACGCAGCGTAGGCCACCCGTTGTGCTCGGGTGCGTGGCGGGCTGGCCTACCCTGCAGGCGCTTCGCTCGCGGCGGCCCTGGAGTCCGCCGTGCAGCGCGCTGCTGCACCGCGTCCACGTGGCACACTGCCCCACGAGAACAACGAACTCCCAGCCGCTAAGTTTTCTCCCACCCGGCGTGGCGTGCCACCGCCGGAGCACTGCGCGCCTGCAACCCTCGGGCAGGCAGGCAGGCAGGCCCGTTACGTGCCCAAGCCCAACGGGTGGCCTACCCCGGAGTTCGCAGGCGCTCCACGCCACTCGCAAAAGAATTGAGCCAGACGATACTCCGCGGTTTCGAGACTTTCAATGCTGGACATGCGGGTGATCTTTTGCGGAATTCGTTTCTTTTTGCGAGTGATAGTATAGTACACACTTTAGTTTGTAGCGAGTTGCCACCGGCTAGTGTGTGTGTGCGCGCGCACTGAGAAAACCTGACAAACTATTTCAGGCCTTGCAAAGAAAAGTACCGTTATAACAAAGTATTTTGAGCATACACGGCAAAAACAGTGTTCGGGTTTTCCAGGCCCACCCTGGAAAAAATGACCTGGTTTTCCTAGCGGGTGCGCCTGGGAAACCCCGACACTGTTTTTGCCATGTACATAAGCTTACAAAAAAAAGAACTTCGTAATTTATGAACTACTTCTTCGTGTAACAGAGTAAATTGGTTTGTACTATGTATGCTCCAAATACTTCGCCTTCGTAAGATTTTAAGCGAGGGGGAACAGCTTCCCACATTCGTTGTACAAAATTTGACCAAATTCCACATTCAGGTGGCAAGAACGCCTGTAAGTAGGCAACGTGTGGCAAAAACGCCAGAAATCTTGCACATTCTTGCACATTCACACAATCATTGTACAAAAAACTTTACGGTGGGTCACCCCTCGATTTTAAGCGTGCGCTCGCCTGCCTCGCGTGCTCCGACAGGCGATCCAGGTGTCGCTGCCGGCCGGCTCGCTGATCCACATGCACGCCGAGGACGCGGCCAACCTGTGCTTCCGCAACGCGCTGTACCGGGACCTGCACGTGGAGGGCCGCTGGCTGCTAGTCTCGCGCCAGGGCAAGGTCTCGCGGCGCGAGGTGAGCCCGCCGCCGGGGCGCGCCTGCCACGTGCCGCCGGGGGCCTACGTCCTGCTGGGGTCGGGGGCGTGGGCGCGGCGGACGGTGCACACGTACCCCGAGGTGAGTGACCTTCGGCCGTTCGGTGACCTACGCTCCACAGTGGGCCAGACTTGAGAAGGCGGTCAAAATCCCGGACGCGTTTTGAGCTGCAGAGTCGCTAAAGAGGACTCGAACCGAACTTGCGACCCCACCAATCAATTCATTTTTCGGAGAGCAGTCCGTTGGTGCGTTTTGAGTTCCAGAGTCGCTAAACAGGACCCGAACCGAACGTGTGACCCCACCAATGGATTCCTCGTTCGGAGAGCAGTCCATTGGTGGGGTCACACGTTCGGTTCGAGTCCCATTTAGCGACTCTGGAGCTCAAAACGCGTCCGGGATCTTGGCTGCCTCCACCGGTCTTCTGGCACACTGTGCGCTCGCTGGAAGGCGTCTTTATAAACACAGACGCCGCGCGGCGAGTATTGGCTTCCACCACCGGCCTCCGGGACAAGGAAGCCTGTTTTCTGTTGATTTTATCTCGTGTTTATTTAGTGTGTAGACCATTATAGGTTTGCAGTGTGACGCGAAATTTAACCCCAGATGCGGTACTTGTGGAACACCTCGGCGCTCTTCGTCGCCATGGTGCCGAGCGAGGACTTCGGCGAGGTGCGGCCCATGCTGTGGGAGGCCTGGCGGCAGCAGTCCATCGCAGACTTCACCGTCATACTGAAGCCGGACTACCTGGCGGAGAAAGCCGGAGGTTTGGACAAAACTCGGTTAAAATCGTAGTTTATAGCTATTGCGCTACTGTACTGACGAATTTCGTAACAATCCGTAATGTGATCCGACTGTTACGCAAGTGCATACCCACTGTGAAAATTTGAGTCGTCACTTGATGACAATTTCAAGGCTAATTTTCCTTACAAGGATGTCATCAAGTCAATTAATGACATTGTTGTCACGCCCATGCAATAAGTATAAGAGCTTTGATGAAAATGTCATCAATTTGTGACGAGATTGTCATCAAACTTAAGGTGATGAAAATGTCATCCACGTTTTTGTCATAAAGTGACAACAAATTTTCACAGGGCCCTCGCGGAAAAAGACCCTCCAAAACAACATCGTTTCTTTGGTGGATGCAGATGCGCGGTGGGAGGCGTGGACGGCGTTGCCGTACGCCGAGCGGACGGGCCTGTGCGGCCGAGTGCAGGGCGAAGGCACGTTCCGCAAGCTGTCCGGCAGCAACCAGGTCGGCCACCGCCACGGCCTTCGCTGTGACGCAGGGATCGATGCGTGCGTGCATGCCACACGCTTAGAACCTTATCAAGTATTTTGAGCATTATACTTACTAAATTACTTTGTTATACGGAGAAATAGTTCATAATTTACGAAGTATTTTTTCTTTTTTTGTAAGCTTATGTATGCTCAAAATACTTTGCTATTACAAACTGATTTTCTTAGTAAGGCCTAATATAGTTCGTAAGGTTTTCTCAGTGCTGGTTTTCCTGGGAAATCCCTGGAAATCACCCATGTATTGACAACAGGCTACCTCGGAAACCGAGGAACAGTCGACGTCGTCGACGTAGAAGATGGACTTAACGGTCGAAACAACGTCGTTTCAAACACCTGATTCTGGCCTGTTTACACGCTGCTGCGCCAGTCCTGGACTCGCGAATCGATCTTCCCTCCGAAAATACCGACGAACTACGGCGGCTGCCTGCTGCCGATCAATCTGCAGTACGACGACAACATCTTCTCGCCCGGCTACCTCACCCCCGAGGGCTACGCCATGGCCATGCTCAACGCCCTCACCACCTTCCTCAACGTAACGCCCACACGTATACCAGCGCCACCGGATCAGGTAACAATTTTGTGTATTTTTGTATGAAAATCGTGCAAAAATTTCATCAGCACAAAAAAAAAAAACTGTGATGTTTTGTTTGAAATTAAACATAACAGTTCGTGTGAATAACAAGAGCTGCCTGTTAACTATGTAAGACTGGTGGGACTGCGAGACTTACCTAAAGAGTGGACGAAAGCCTATCGCTCCTTCTTCAGTCAAATGAGCCACTTCCGTGCTTGTTCATTGGCCTGTTTTCAAGGTCGTTCTGCGGGTATAGTTTGTCTTTTTCCTCTCCATTTTGTTGGTACCTTGCAGTTCGACACAACACCCGGCGCCCCTGATTGGTCATGGTACGACGCCTTGGCGGGTCTGGAGAGCGGAGAGGTGGACGTCCTCGTCGGGCAGTACTCGTACACGGATTGGCGCTACGACAGGTGACGTCCCTCGTCCTGTTGGCGTTCAAGTTGCTCTCAACACTCTTAAAATCGTACGCTTCATGGATAACAGATCACCCCAAAATCCCGAAATTTTCTTCGCATTCAAGGCCGGCCCATATCTTGTCGTACACCCGCCTTTTCATTGAAGAGAAGCCTCTTTCGCCAATGAAGAGATGCTCAGAAACCCTAGTGTGTTTTTCTCAAGTCTACTTGACCCATACACGGTTTAAATATTTCGTTAAGTTTTTAGGCGTGCACACTCAATGTGAAAATTTGTCGTCACTTTATGACAAAATAGTGGATTACATTTCCATCACGTTCAAATGATGACAACCTCACCACAAATTGATGACTTTTTCATCAAAGCTCGTACTTATTGCATGGGCGTGACAACAATGTCTGATGACATCCTTGTCAGGAAAATAAGCCTTGACATTGTCGTCACGTGACAACTCAAATTTTCACAGTGCTGGAGTTTCTGGAGTGGAGGGTGATGGTTTTGGCGCTGCGCTTGCAGCTACTCCACGCTGGGCCCGCACGGCGTGTCCAACTACCGCTGGTACCTGCCCGTGCCGCTGCCCTCGTTCCTGCCCATCGTGCCGCACCTGGCCCTGCCCACGGTGGTGGTGGCCTCCACCGTGCTGGGGCTCGTGGCCGCCGTGGCCGTGCTGGCCTTCGCCTCGGACCGCACCGGCAACAGCGTGCTGCACGTGTGGTCCATGTTCGTGGAGCAGCCCATCCCGCAGACAGGGCTCGATGGTGAGAGTCCCCCTCAATGTTTATGTACATTTTATTGCCCATACACTGCAAGAAAAAGTGTGAGTGGTACAACAATTATACAACAAAAACTGTACAATAAAAGTACAACAGGGATTGTATAAAGTACAACGAGAATTGTACAAACCACAATGAGGCCTGGACTGCACAGCACTCGTCATGCCGGTTCCATTGTACTTTGTACAACAATTGTTGTACTTTGAAAGTACAATAAAAACCTGATAAAAAATTTGCCAGAAATTTGTGTAATTTTGTTGTAGTTTTTTCTTGCAGTGTAACCATGGCCATATTTGTACACACGCAAGCTACGTGCAGTTTCATACGTAAATTCTATAGCTATTGGACATAGCAGCGTATCTACTATGGGATCCCCTATGCACTGTGAAAATTTGTTGTCATGACAAAAACGCGGATGATATTTTCATCACTTTCAAATGATGACAATCTCATCACAAATTGATGGCATTTTCATCACAGCTCCCATACTTTTTGCATCGGCGTGACAACAATGTCATCAATTTTTTTAATGACATTGTTGTAAGGAAATCAGCTTTGAAATTGTCATCAAGTGACGACTCAAATTTTCACAGTGTGAACATATGTTGTTTTGTCAGATGACCACTCAATTAGGCACAATATTTCCATATTGTGCTTAAGCACTTATATAATCGTACCTACTTTATGCAAAAATTTATGCAAAAATCGAAATTTGAACACAATTTTCGTTATGTACAAATATGGCCATAATGGACAAAAAGCCCGGAAAAATTAGTGTGCTCAGTAAGCCAAAAGACCAGTGGTGGAGGAGGCCAAATTTCTAGACGGGTTTCGGTCTCTAGAGTCACCAAACAGGACTTGAACCAACCAAATCCCTCTCTGTCCTCAGGTATACAACTAGCTTCGCGTGTGGTCATTCTATCAAGTCTGGTGGGCTTCGTCAACGTGAACGTCCTCATCAAGTCCACCATCGTAACCAGCATGTCCCGTCCTAGCGTTTTCAGTGGATTGCAATCGACCGAAGAACTGGCAGGCCTCAGCAAGGTGGTTATCGGAATGGATACACCACTCATAAGCACTCTCCTCAACATAAGGTAGATTCTACAAGCTGGTCAGCAAAACGAACGGGAAAGCTATACACCCAAACAAAAGTCTACGAAGCATCTCTGTTCGAAGAAAATGAAGGCATAGTAGAATCGCTTTTGTAATGAAGGATTTTGCTTCATTCATTATACAACCGATTTCTTCGTAGATTTTACAGTGCCTTTCTTCGAATTACGGCACGATGATTCGTGGACTTTTTTCTCTGCACACGCTCAAAACCTAACAAACTATTTTGAGCATGTGAAAGGTACAAACTTCAGTTCGATGTACGAAGAAAAAGTTCGTAAATTACGAAGTATTTTGTACTAGTACTAGTACTTTTATTTGTGAGGCCTGAAATAGTTTGTAAAGTTTGAAGGGTGCAGACACTACATTCTTTCAGCTTATCATAACAAGGGGTCCTCCCTCCACCTTACCGAAGCACCTTCTCCACAGTACAGTCCCATCGGAGCGCGCCCTGGCGAACCGCTCAGAGGAGTGCTACCTCAACTTCACGGACTGCGTTCACCGGCTGCAGGCGTGGGCGCTCTCCGGCGACGACACGATGTTCGTCTTGGTGTGCGGCGAGGAGATGCTGGAGTTTGCCACGGCAGGCGCTGCTAAATTCACAATCTACTCCTTAAAGGAGCCACTACATCACAACATATACGGATGGTAGGTCAAACGGTCATGAAAAAATTAGCTTGTCGCCATTGTGCTCGCTCCTCTCTCGTTCCAGGAGCGTGACACGGCAAAACCAGTGTCCGGGTATCCCAGGCCCACCCTGGAAAAATGGCCTGTCTTCCCAGGGTGTGCCTTGGAAACCCCGACACTGTTCTTGCTGTGGACAAACTGTCACGCTCCTTTGGTCATTGTATCACGCTAGTTGGGTCGTGAACCAGCCAAAAAATAGCATATTCACATTTAAGGACACAAGAGCGTGACGTTCGTTTCATCGTAATGGGATCTCCTCTATTATGAAGCAAAATACTTTTTGAAACTTCAAAATACGAAGCATTGTAAATTTCGCAGTTATCTACGGAGTGTGCTGACCCCCGTTAACCCACCCCTCTTGCTTCTCTGTCCAAATGGTTCTAGGTACGGGCGAAAAAAGTTCCCGATGGCCGACCGAGCCAATCGGCTGTTCCTGCTGCTGCAGCAGTCGGGGCTTCAGGCCTTGTGGGCGAAGATGCTGAGCACCAACATCAGCGCAGTCAACCAGTTCTCGCGAAGTCCGTTTTTGAACAACGCTCCCCAGGCCATCCCCTTTCTAGTACGGTTGCCGCAGGGCAAACGTCTTGGCTTTTCCGTAGCATGAAAGGATAGATACACAAGCTTAAAACCTTACGAAGTATTTTGAGCATACATAGTACAAACTTATTTGCTTTGTTATACGAAGAAATAGTTCGCAAATTACGAACTATTTTCTTTGAAAGCTTACGTGTGCACAAAATACTTTGTTCTAGCTGCGATAAGCCTCTGATTAAAGAGCCGAATCGGATGAGTGTGTATTCAAATCCTTGAGCTGCATTCTGCTTCCTAACTTGGCTGACGCTCCCGAGCAGGATGAATCTACTATTCCCCTCCTTCGTAGCGACGGTCATGAAGTATCCGCTCTGCTTTGCAGCGGGCGCGCAACCTGTTCGTGATGCTGGTTCTGGGCGAGGCGGTGGCGTTCGTGGTGTTCTTGCTGGAGCACGTCGCGGACCGCTGTGCGCTGCGCGGAAAGGCCGGGAAGACTCGTGCGGAAGGGAAGGACGCCAGCAACGAACGCTGGGACCCTTGAACCACGCCCCGCTGGCAGGACGGAAATTGTTGCCGAGGGAAAGAACCAAAAAGGCGCTTTGAACTGAGATACATACAACGGTCTCGTGTTCCGTTTGTAACCTGTGGCTTTTTGTTTGACTAATAAAACCGAAGTGATTAAAGACACGCATTTAAATAATGAAGATGGACCTTGATTTTTCGCGAGTTTACGTTTGCCAAACTCTTCGTCAAATCGTAGCATACTAGAGCGTAGTGTCTTTAATTACGCTTAACTATTTTACAGTCAACCCTTGTTAACTCTGTTCCATGAAGCATATTTTCGTGCTTTGTACCCTGTACTTGCGGAAGAACTTGGCCCGCCAGCCGAAGGGGCCCGCCTTGCCGGCCGTCCGCACAACGACGGGGACCTCGAGGACCACGTCGCCGCAGACGCGCGGCGTCGTCAGGGAGGCCGTAAGCGGTCTGGTTCCAATGAAATATCCCCTTCCCTCTTCCATGCCCGTCTGCTCCCCACGCGTCACGCGGCACGCACCGACAAGAACATCACAGCCGCCGCCAGACCGCCTGCACTAGACCTGCTCCGCCGCCGGCTGCCGCCACCGCCGCAGCACTCTCACAGTGCACTTGCACTGCTCCCGAGGCGGGTGCTGCTACTGCTGCCGCACTGCCGCCGCCTCTACCTGCACTTGCACTGCTGCTGCTGCAGTGCCGCCGGCCGGCGCTGCGTGTATATTCGCAGCGTGCCGCGCTACTCTACTTACTTACTCCCCGAGGTGCGCCGCAGCCGCATCTCACTGTCCGCCGCGCCGTCGCCGACGCCACACCATGCTGCTCAACACCATGTTCCTCCTCGTCGTGGTGCTCGCGACCATCGCGGTGGTGCAGGCCGAGTTTGCGGCCTCCACCGCCGCCACCCCGGCCAGGATGTTCTCCGGGGACGCCGCCCTGCAGTGCGTTGGGGAGTGCCGGCGGACCGCGTTCGACGAGGACCTCAGGCGGAGCGACGACGGCGGCCTCGACCTCCAGGACGACCTCAAGGCCAACGTGACGGCCAAGGCCGACGACGACCCCACGCACGACAAGCTCCCCGACAGCGCCGCCCGCATGACGGAGGACCTGGACGAGGAGGACGACGACGAGGACAAGGCGGAGGGCGCCTTGGCGGAGGGCCGCGCCACCCGAGCAAGTAAGTACACTGTCGAATGGTTTTGTACAAATTTTGGACGAGTCGTTACAGTTGCGTGCAACTGCGCGTGCTCAATGCTCGAAATTATAGTACTATCGGCTGTCGTTGCCACCTCAAAGACCAGTACGCAGCCTTGCACAGCATGTATTGGTCGGATGAACTTTCCGGACGAATTTTGTATGCACTCCGGAAGACTTCGCAAAGAAACGTACAAGTTTAACACATATTTAACATGCGTGAGCTCACATAGAATACTCAAAATTACAAACTATTTCTTTGTGCTACGGACTAAATAGTTTGTACCTTACTTACGCTCAAAATACTTGTAAGGTTCTAAGGTTCTGTGATTTTCTACAAAAATGGAGAAAATACATAGTACGAAAAGATTATCAGCAATGTGACGGTGACGTCTCGCACAAAATTGTTACGTAACTTAAAGTAGGAAACCTTGCAAAGAATTTGGCCTCTTTGAAGTTGCGAAAAATTTAGTTAATATCATGCGAAAAGATTTGGTCCGCATGGCGAACAAATTTGTTCGCAGAAATGCGAAGATTTAGTTAACGAGTCAACTATAAAACCTGACTCTTTTTGGTACACGTTTGCATGACTAATGTTACGCAGGCAATCCGTCGGTACTAATTGGAGTATGTCTCCATGCATTCATTAATAATTCCTTGCTCGCGTGCATCTGATCGCGCTCAATGCTGGAAATTGTAGTACTATCGGCTGTCGTTGCCACCAGCACGCAGCCTTGCACATCATGTTATCAATCAGTATAAACTCCCACAGTCTGCACAAGTGTACTGGTAAAGGGTTGTTAAAATTGAACTTGTCGACTTGGTGTGTCTGCCATGAACCTTTTGGTTCGTTAGTTATGGTTCCCTTTGAAACCCTGGACCAGGCAGGTAAAGTAAAACAGAAAGTATTCATCGAAACAAAAGTTAACTTTTCAACTATAGATTTTTTTTCTTTTCAAACTGAACAAAATTTTCAACTTTATTTGGGAAGTAGCTTTTCACCGTAGTTTTAAAGCTTTTTGTTTCGTTCATTGTAATAGTCTGCGAAAGACACGTGCTTTAGGTTCCTTTTGGCACAAGCCGCGCTAAGAGCACCGCATTATTGCGGGCTAGATGTACACTCTAAATGTTTAAATACCTTTAATGTACATAGCTATTGCCATATTCTTGCATACGGAATTTCTGTTCAATCTAATACATACTTTGGGGAACATATTTCCATATTGTGCTGACGTAATTGTACATTACTTACATATGCACAAGTATGGCAATAATTATGGACAAAAAGTCCATTGGCATAAAGTGCCCAACATACATTTGTCGTTAAAATCCTTGTCTGCAACTCTTTCATCGACGATCTGGCACCATTCTATTTCTCGCGAGGCCGTTTTGCTTATCGCCGACCCCATGATGAGTGCCCCATCCTCACGGCGTGTAACAATGTAACGGCCGCTGCACTTTTAATAAAGCGCCCTGCAGCGGCGGGCGCAGCAAACTGGGCTAGGAAGGTGCCGCGGATGAGTGCAGAACTGCAAAGAGGTGCAAGTGCATGCACGCAGGAAATAGACCGTGCGTTTGTAGCGGTGTAGCATGTCCAGTGCGTGCGAAGCCCCAGGCCTCCTCCGTGCCAGACACACCGTCCCTGTCTTGGAAATCGCCCGGCCCGTATCAACCTTGCCATTCTCTAGGTTCCAGAGAAGTCCGCAGTGCCGCACTGAGGGCCAGCAGACCGGCGCCGGCGGCCGAAATTCTTGGTGCGTTGTGAGCTCCAGAGTCGCATAGCGGGACTCGAACTCAGCGTGTGGCCCCACCAATGGATTCCTCGTTCGGAAAGCAATCTATTGCTGGGGCCATACGTTCGATTCGAGTGTCATTTAGCGACTCTGGAGCTCAAAACGCGTCCGAATTTTGACTGCCTCCACCTGTCTCCTGGCCCACTCTGGTTTCGAGACGTGAGCCTCCGTGCCACGGCGTGCCACTCACCCGGACTAGCAGTGTGTAATCACAGAGACCGGATGACCTGCTCCCGGCCGACCGCAAATGTGCCGTGGACTACTTGGCATCCGTCCACATGGGTGTGGAGTGGAGGACTGCATGCTTCACAAACTGCCTGAGACGTGCCTGAGCCTCCGGAAACTCGGAGTAGTAACCTTACACGGTCAATCTATACCAGAGACCGGCACCGCCGCTCGTGGCGGGCCTCGCTCGGCCCGGCTCGGCAACCGATTCTCTGTGCGGTCCGGGAAAGCCGTAGATCCGACCTAGATGAGCCGAAATTCGTCGATTATTGCCGAAGCCGCCGGTGCAAACGGGCCCCGTGGCCGGCGACTGGCGTGGCGGCCTTGCGGGCTGGGGGAGGCAGACGGTCGCGGCGCCCAGTGCCCCATCGATCTGTCTCTCTCGCACGTAGCATACCGCCCCATGAGTGCGACAGAGACACAGCGACGAAAGCGATATGTGCGGGATCGCTCTGCGAGCCGGGGCAGCGGCGCGGCGGCGACCGGCCAATCACTACTCAGGCACACTGGCCGCACCAGGCCGCACACGGCACCGAGGCAAAGCGAACGAACTGCTCGATCGGGTGAGTGCGGGCGAGGAACGGGGGCCAGTGCCCGTCTCTGATCTATACCCTGGAAAAACATCGAAGTCCATGGGAAACGCAGAAAATCTTATGGGTTTCTCAGAAACTATGGCGCTTTTTCAGAGTGCTGATTTTCCGTGTGCACACTAAATGTTTATGTACTTTTATTGTGCCCATAGCTATGGCCGTTTTTGTGCATACAGAACTTATGTACAAATTTGTACATACATTAGGCACCATATTTCCATATTGTGCTTGAGTATGTAAAACATTGTACCTAATTTATGTACAAATTTGTACACAACTTCAGTACACCCAAATACGGCCATAGTTGATTGACATAAAGTCAATTAGCATTTAGTGTGTGTTGTATCTTTCTGCGGAAGTCGAAAAATAGTCTGGTCGGAACCATTTACCGCCGACGGAACGTCGATTCTCTGGCGCCATTCTCTCGGTACTCGGGCGCCACCTAGCCCTCGTTATCTCCACCAGACTGTTTAGAACGGAATTTTCTAACAGTGCTCACGCGCTGCAGCGCGGCGGTGCATCAGGTCACGCTTGGGTGGACGCGGTCCGCGCGGTCCGCGATGCAACGGCTGGCCAATTTGTGGTGCTGTTAAGTAGTGCGACTGCAAGCTGCAACAAGGCGGCAGACCTCGCATTAAAGCAGACGGAAGAGCGAGTAAAACAGAAAAGTGTAGCGTTTTTTTGTCGCTTTTTTGCCGGGAACTATTGTCAGGTCTAAAGATGGAAAACCAGGATGAAACGGAGAGCCGGCCCACCTTAGCACAATTGTCAATGCTTAAGCGCCTTCATTTGCAATAAGTCACTGTTTTAAAACAGCTGTTCTTGTTTTTTAAATAAATATAATGCCGTAGTCAAACGAACGTGATGTCTTATTCGAGGGCGAAGTAGAAGCTCTGCTTCTCCTTCCTTCATTTCATTCAGCGCTTGTAAACAGCGCAATTTTAAAGCCGAATGAAACCTATTTTTGGGACTGGTACGACGAAAGAGGCGACAAAATTCGTGAATCGATAATTTTTATCATATTATTGTGCATGGCACTGTCCGGGATTAAACTAAGCTTATATTTCGACAAAACTTCATGCACTGAATCCTGCAGAACGAGTTTGCGTTCATCACTGTACATGTTCTACGTCTTTGTGTTAAAACCCAAATGAGCAGAGTGCATACAGTTCCCGGTCAGAATCAGTTTCTCCACCTGTGCACTTACACTTTATCGGTCCAGAAGTCGTCATGCGGATCTTGTTAATGTTTTTATAGTGCATCTCGTCGAGTGTGAGGTCTTACGATCGTTTGCTCCCCTGCATGGGTCTTCAGAGATGTGTGTGTGTGTGTGTGTGCAAACAAATTCATATGCAATCGGCAAAATCTGATAAGGCTCCGTACGCTTCATACCGTTTCATCGCATCTCCGAAGTAAGACAGCAGGAAGGGGAGGGGGAATAGAAATGCACCGCAGTGGCTGCGTCGAGCCATGCACTTGAATGACGTAGGTTTGTGAGTGCTTCCATGCATAGGGCACGCAGGCACGATAGGCATCTCCGTCTCGAGCCGCGATTCGATACTAATTGCTGGATGCACAAGGCCGCTTCTTTCTATGGAATCGTTTTCTTCAGTTTCTGGTGCACGCCACCGCCTTTACCGGGAAATGAAATCGAATTCGTATGAAAGACCAGCTCCCTGGCTCCGCCCAGATGCGTCATTGCTGTATCATCAACTCACTGGCTCCAAATATTGTTTTGTGAGAGGAAAAGTGATGGTTTCGTTAGCAGATTATCCCATTATGTCGATACCAGAAATTTTATTGCATTTTCAATAACTTGGGACCACTACATCTCCATACCTTCGCGTGTCCAGGTTAAGGTAGCCAGCATCAAACCTATCAGTCCGGAAACGGGCTCAATTGAACCCCATAATCGAAACTGACTTTGATTTGCGAAGCAAGGCACCCTTTCGGGATTTTCAATTGCTCGCCCCACCCACCTCACTTCCCCCTTTTTCTACGCAACACTATGAATGGGCTTGACCCACAACTGCACAAGTGTTGCAACGTTGCCAAAAATCTTCCAAGCAGTCACGAAGACTTCCTTTCTCTGTTGCAGAGCGCAGGCAGAGCCTCAAGATTCGCAAAGTGGACGGCGCCGTCCTGCAGATGCTGTTGATGCTCAAGATGATGCCCGTCATGTTCATCTCCACCAAGGTGGCCATCTTGTCGTTCCTCGTGCAACTCAAGTCCCTCATGCTGTCCGTCGTTTCGGCCGGCATTGCCGCGGTGCAGTTCTTCTGGAGGTTCCAGGAGAAGCGGCAAAGAGCAAGCCTGCAGGCGACGCACGCCGCAGGGCTGGCCGCGCAGCAGCAGGCCGCGCAGGCTGGCTGGACGGACGAACATGGCTTGTGGCCCGACCGCAGGAAATACATCTCCTACTAACGGCAATGAGAGGGGGGACTTTATACATCGATTATTTATTGGGGGATAGCTTTAAATTGAAATAATGTTGATCAAGAAATTCGTGGAACGTCTGTGTGGGGTATGGGTGATCGTCACTTTGTAAGACTCCCAAGCCACATTTCGTTCACGCCTCCTTGAAGGGCGGATCACTAGACGTTATTCTGCCAGTTTATTAGGTTATAAATCAGTTGTAACGTGCCTGGTGGGATAACTATTTATTGCAAGGTAAATTTTCCTTTTGCACGAGTATTTCCAAATTGTCCTTTATGACGTTGACTGTCTTGCTTTTAGTGCTAAAATTGATCCGCCCTTACTCTCTAGTCAGAATTATTTCATTGTTGTACTAGTATTTATTTCTAGCGACTGTCGCTTCAGGTGGATTTGCATCAATCCGCGGGTAGCGGTGGTTTCAAATTTGTCTATGATTTCAATGCCTGTACTTCTAACGTGTTTACATGATATTTGTAAGCTAAAATATGCAGGAATGCTGCACAGTCGTTTCGGAGACAAACCGTCAGAATAAGAGCACTACTTTGTTGTGGTGGTAAAATATCACACTTTACTTGGGATGCAGCTTATTTCATAAAAAGAGAGGATGTAAATTTAGGTAACGAATCGTATGCACAGCTAGGGATGGTTTCCTAAAGCAAGCTTCGAAATACACTATTTATTCGTTCCATGTATGTTAAATCTAACACCAGCTAGCTTTGAAAGATGTTAAACGTTCCATGTATCTTCACTCTGACACAAGCAAAACTAACACGGTTTTTGTTGGATACGTTAATCGCTTATGGGCTGCCTCATTTGTGTGCGAATTTTCATTTCCTTTGTCTGCATTTTGCACGCCAGGTATAGTAACTTATTCAATTCCTTTGTACAGTTTTTGTACGTGGTCTTAGACAATTTTGTGCGTGCCTTTCGTTTCTTTTTCGCAATTGCGCAGGACTTCGTACTATTCTGCGTACGAATTTGTACAATAAACTTTACAAAGTTGTGTGAGACCACGTGCAAAATTGTACTAATGTATTTATTTATTTATTGTGTAGATCATTTCATTGAATTGGCAACTCGCAGAAATGCTGTCCTCACCACATTTGTTTATTTATTGTTCTTGCATATCCCAACTGACGGTCTATTTAACACTGTCAGACTTTTGTTAGTGCTAAGAATATACGAATATTCATTTGAGTGTGTTCGGATTTCTAGAAAATTCATCAGTATTTTGAAAACATTTTTGATTCCACTTTGTATTTTGGCGTTAGCGGTTGAGAATATAAGATCGCTCGCGCTAGTCTTCTCCTTTCACAGAGCTGTTAACTGCCTTGATTCCTGCTTCTGTCACTTCTATTTTTTAAACAATATGTTCATGATGATAGACTTGTAGAAATTAACTCCACGAAAGGCACAATGATAAAGAACTGTTTTCAAGCCGATGGTGTTGTCATTTATTATTTGCCCCTTCCCACCGGTAAATGCACACCGCAAAAATTTCAGTGCCTTGGTTTATTACATACAACCAAAGCAGGATCAGCCGCTGCCACCCCAGAAAGTGTCTTTTGTAGCCACAAGGGTTCAAAAGTAGATAGCAGCAGAAAAGCATTCTACTTGCTTTACCCGACTCCTCAGACTTCCCTTGTTGGCAAAAATTTCTGCACAGATGTTTAACTCGAATGGTCCTTTCACAAAGTTTTCACCTTAAATATATTGACCTGAGAGGGAAACAACTTGAATTTCGGTGTACGTTTTCCCACAAAATGACGTAAAATATTGGGGGGAAAACTTGAATTTGAGATTGTTCAAATGTTGTTTGCCCCTCGTAGTCTACTGCCATAAAAGTGAGAAACTGAACATGACGTCATGTTTGCGTGATGACTGACATTCACTTTTGCATCCCTCCCGGCTTTTTAATCAGCTCGAAGCATTCCACGCCGCATGCCGTCGGCTTGCCGTCGGCTGGGCGTGCGGCCCGAGTCCGGCGCCCCTGGAGCGGAACTTGACGCGGAAGCCCCCACGCAGCCTCAGCGTCACGTTGATGCTCAAGTGGTCGGACAGGCTCTGCAGGTCCACGTGGCCGTCGTCCACGGGGAGCACCGAGAAGTCCCTGATCATGCTGCACAGCAAGGTGGTCATGAGGTACATGGCGTAGGTGCCGCCGATGCAGTTCCTGCTGCCCGCGCTGAAGGGCATGTACGCGTAGGGGTGGCGGTTCCTGGCCGCGTCCGGGAGGAAGCGGTCCGGGTCGAACCGCCCTGGCTCCGACCAGTGCCGGGGGTCACGGTGGGCGCTGAAGATGTTGATGGCGATGGTGGTGTTGGCGGGGATCTCGTGGCCCCAGAGCGTCGTCTGGCCGTAGCACTGGCGCCCGATGACGGCGCCGGGCGGAAACATGCGCATCACCTCCTTGAGGAAGCGCTCCATGTACTTGAGTCTGAAATCAGATTGTGAGTGAGTTCGGATGCCCGCATGGCAATCAAGTACAGTAGCCGTGAGTCCACCCTGTCGCCTGTGGCGCGTGATGAGCCTAAGAGAGATGGCCATATCATTGCCAGGCCTGCAACGCTTGACCGAGCCCCGACCAATTTGGGTACCTGCATAGTAATCGGTCCAGTGCACAGTGCGCCGGAAGATTGGCGGTGGAGGCGGCGAAAATTACAGACGCGTTTTGAGCTATAGAGTCGGTAAAGGGCCGTCCATAAATTTACCTTAATTTTCTGTTTGAATTTCTGAGGATGTGCTCTCATTTTCAATGTGTTTACCGTAACGTTACGCTGGCTTGAACCCCCTCCCCTACGTACCTCAGCGTTACGGAGACCAGATTTACCTCCACCCCACCACCTGAGTGCGTTACTTGCGTAACGTGCGTAACGTGGTTTATGGACGCCCCCTTTACAAGCAATTACCCACTATCCACTGGTCAATTCACTTGCAAACACTGAGCCTCACCCACCGCCCCGGCTTTTCCGTTTGACACTCACTTGGGGATGTCCTCGATACTGACGTCCCTCTCCGAGTCCCCGAACACGTCACAGATCTCGGCGTGCAGGCGTTCCTGCACCTCGGGCAGCAGCGACAGAATCTTGAACGCCCAGCCCAGGACCGTCGCCGACGTGTCGGCGGCGGCGATGAAGAAGTTCTTGACCTCGTCCTGGATGGCCTCCTCGGACATGGACTCCTGGTGCTGGGGCGTGTCCATCATGAAGTCCAAGAGCGTCCTTCGCTTGAGGTGGGCGTCCGAGGCTCTCCTGTTCCTCAGGGCCTCGCGCTTGCGGGTGATGAAGCGCCTGGTGAACTCGTCGAACGTCCGCTTGGCCTTGTCGAGCTTGCGCCCGTCCGCCGTCAGCATGAACAGCCAGTGCGGCCAGAGCATCGGGTTGACGGCGCGCTTGATGATGGCGGCGAAGAACTCCTCGATGAAGTCCACGGCGGCCAGGGCCTCCTCGCCCTTCTCGCTGCCGTCGCCCAGCGACGTGAGCATGAAGGCCCTCGTGATGGGGTCGGCGAGCAGCTCCCGCACCTCCACGTCCTCGCCGGTGGGCACGGTCTTCAGGAAGGCCTTGGCCACGGCGCTGAAGTCACCGATGAACGAGTCCAGGACGCTCTTCCTGAAGCCCGGCGACAGCCAGGTGCGCCTTTGCTTCCACTCGGCGCCCTTCAGCACGAAGATGCCGTCCTTGAAGGCGGCGCGGAAGAAGCAGTAAGGGAAGTAGGACTTGTCCAGGAGGTCCTTGCGGCGCACCACCTCGCCGATGCAGGCCGGGTCGCTGGTGATGACCACCGGGTAGTTCATGATGTACAGCTGGGTCAGGCGACGGCCGTCGACGATCTCCAGCAGCCTGGAGAACAGTAGCTCCTGGTCCACGGTCATGAACTGCAGGACGTGGCCGACGAAGGGTAGACCGGGCGGTCCCGGGATGCTGGAGGTCTGCTTGTTCTTGACGGCCCGCATGAGCAGGCCGACGATGCAGACCGCCAGGCCCACCAGTAACGCCACCGTCACCGCGGCCATGGCGGACGTGGGGCCTCGCGCAGGACACGCTCGCCTACCTTCTGGTGCACTTTGGGACAGAGCTGCTCCTCGCACAGCAGGCTCTTGTTGTCAAAGCCTTCAGACGGCCGAATCGGCTGGGAAAGAGGGGATACTGTTTCCCAGCCGACTGCATGGCACGTGGAACCACGGTATGCCCCTCCCCTCCCCCTCTCGACTGGAGCAGGACGGGCACCCAAAGGATCACCATGTCCGCCAAATGAGACAGAGAAACAGGAGCCTTCTCAGAGGGCATGCAATTAAATGGAAACATACGCACTACAGTTGAATGTTTCGCACCTTACGATGAATTACGCTTACTATACTTTATTTTGAAAACACGAAGGATAGGATACGTAACCATATTTTCTGTTGCGTAATGCGTATGTACGAATACGTTCATGACAATGGCGAACCCGAAAATAAATTCAGTTCGAATTATGTTTGCAAAATAGTTTCTTCGTACACTACGCTGCCAAATTCACTGTAAATCAATTTGAAGAGAAACCGAGCTTATGCTCACGGGGCGACGGGAATATGAACTATTTTAAAGAGGCCGAAAGCAGCCCGGAGCCACACTGCCTATTTGCGAGGTCGGCGGAGGATGACGACGTCGTCATTAAATGCCATGTTTGTATAGCAGATTGTTTGTTGGTTTATGTCTCAGTAACCGACAATCAATCTGCCACTCTGACATGGCATTTAACGAACTCGCAGACAAAGTTACACGAATTCCACCTTGACCGCAAGCAGGTAGCTTGCGGCATGCTTACGGGCCACTTAAGCCACGGGGAAGAGGAGAAAGGAAATGAGTTTTTGGTAAAACCAAATCTTGCGTTTCCGAAAACCGCTGACTCTTACAAGATATTTAAACACGCTACTCCCTATGAGCTGACTGAAACTTCGTTTCAAGCGGCTCTGTTCCTTCTGAAGCCTGTTTTGCATTGCAGAGATGCTGTACCACAGCGCACGCCTGCAGGGTAGGCCCCCCAACGTGCTCCGTGGCTGCTTTAGTGGACTAGTCCAGGCGCTCCAGACCAGACGGCTGGTGCCTGAGCTCTTGTACGCTTCACGAAGGGCGCTCTGTTCACTTCACGAAGGACGCTATGTTACGCCTTCTTTTTAAAAGTGTCATCAAATGAATAATATGTATCCCAGAAACGAAACGATGTCCTTGATGGAATTTTCTGTACGCAGTCATTTTTAGTTTAAAAATTAAATGTATTTAAATGTTTTTCGTACAACGTACAACTACTTTATTTTAATGGTGACAGACGAGGAAGAAAGGGAATCGGAACGGAAAGTTTCAGGACTCCCAAACCAGACTCATTTATTGACAACAATCAAAATCAACTTAAAAATAGTTATACGAGGTTGGAAAATTTTTGATCGATTTCTTCTGAGCACGCTTCCTTGCCATCAAGGATGACTCAAATTGTATACATCATTAACCTTATAATCTTACAAAACAATTCAAAATCACAGATTATACTGCACTGTTGAAAATATCATGTTGATTTGACAGCAACTCTAGATAGTGCAGACACGATACAGGTATTAACACACTTACAGTTACTTTCTGTATTAAATACATCATGAAATGATATTTTTAACAGTGCATATCTATAAATACTTCTGAAATCTACACTTTTCATTTTTCAAATGCCCGTTTTATCGAAATAATCCTAGTAGTCATTATCACAATAGGTCCTTAAAGGGTAATGTTTCTCAAGAGGCTTCGCGAATCAAGGCCCACCAGTAGTTATACCAGAATGATCAGACAGAATCCATAATCGTAATTGCTGGCTGTTTCAAAATTTTATTTTACAGAAGATAAAACCGGCGTGTCAATTAGAAAATTTTTCACACATTTTACATTTAGATCGCAGTTTTTTCACACGTACACATTAGTTATAAAATTATTTGTTTTCAGTTTAATGGGGGTTTCCCTTCGTTTGCATGAACCTGCCCTTCAGGACGGCCTCTAGAAAGTTTAGAAAATATATGTAGGATGAGGTCATCCGATCCTTGAAGAATTGATATGAACTTGTTGGCTTGTCAAAGTTCCGGAGGGGAACCTATTCGTCTTTTATCGTTTGAATAAATAGCAATGATAAGGAAATGAACAAAGTTTAAATGAAATGAACGGCAAATGACAGTGATGTACTGTGCCTTTGGAATGTCGTTATGAACTGTGATGTTGACGGACTTACATTTAGCACCTTTCTTCCAACTCAGAACTAATTAAAGAGAAGTTTTCTCCATAGGTTGTTCAGGGCTGCTCTCCACACTGGCTGCGTTCTTCTTCTTGATGTACATGGACTCGATATCCTGGAGGGACCTGCCCTCCGTTTCAGGGAGGTACTTCCACATGAAGAGGAAACCGGCCGCGGCGACGCCTCCGTTGACGAAGAACACCCCGCTCAGGTTGACCAGCCGCTGGATGTCGAGGAACGTCTTGGCCGCGAAGAAGCCGAGGATGTAGGAGGCGGCCGCTGCGATACCGGTCGCTGGACCTCGGCCCCTGGAAGAACAGCGTCGAGTTAAATGTTGAAATCAGTGTTCAAAGTTCATTCAGTGTTCAATCAATAATCAATGTTAAGTCTATGTTCAATGTTCCGCGTTCAATGTGCAATCTATGCTCAGTGTTCAATCTAGTTCAATGTTCAATCTATATTCATGTTCAATCTATCTCTATGTCTAATGTTCAATCTATGTGAAAAGTTCAATCTATGTCCAATGTTTAATCTATGTAATGTTCAATCTGTGTCCAATGTTGAATCTATGTTTGTTTTAAAACAATACCGCCAGGAGCGTCCGAAGTCCGATACAGGGATTTCGGTTTGAACGAACAAGTCTCCTCGCGAGGCTGTTTGTAAGGTGTGGCACTCACTGGTAGGGGAAGACCTCGGACAGCAGCATCCAGGGTATGGGGCCGATGCCGAACGAGTGGAAGAAGAAGAGGGCGATGAAGAGCACCAGCGGCAGCCAGTGGGACTCGAGCTCGTCGCCCACCGCCGCCCCCGTGGAGCTGGACATGAAGAGGTGGTAGCTGGCCAGGCCGAAGCACGACAGGGCCATGCCGCCGATGGACGCCAGGGCGAGCGGCCGCTTGCCGCACCACGCCACTGTGAGCATGCACAGCACGTTGCCGCCCATGCCGAGCAGCGCCGACAGCACCTGCAGCAGGACAACACCATCACCACCCTGAACTGCAAGTCCGGCGGAAAAGTTTGCTTGCCACACAAGCCGTTTTCAATTTGAATGCCAGAAAAATTGGCAAGCGGTTTTGAATGCCGAAAATTGGCAAGCCCTTTTCAATGCCTGCAAATCGTTTCTAATGTCCGAAATTGGCAACGCGTTTTTAATGCCAAAAAGTTGGCAAGCTTTTTTTAATGCTTGAAATAAGCCAATCGTTTCTAATGTCGAAAATTGGCAACCAGTTTGAAATGCCAAAAATTGGCAAAGCCTTGATCTGAAATCTTCATGACCTTGCTGATATTTGGCGTTTCGGCAATGCCGAATTTTCGCGACACGTACGACTATGCTTCAGTTTTAGCAGTGCACCACATGTCTCAAGCGATTCTTTGAACTGAGTACGCGTACACTTTTAGCTGGGAAGCGGGAAGCGTACTCCCCGCGTTGCATTTCCTGAACGGTTGGATTGTTTTCCCACTGCCCGCTCACTAATGATCGTTTCAGATGAATCGCGCATAGAAATGAATTTGCGTAATTCGGTCCTGCAGACTGATCCGGAGAGTCGTCTCTGTCTCTCTCGCACACTGAAAAACCAAACGTGGTCTAGACCACACTACTAGTGCGGTCAAATGGGTTCCGTTTTGACCGCATCAGGCGGTGTGGTCAAGACCACGTTTGGTGTGGTCTAGACCACGTTTGGTGCGGTCTTACCATGCAATGACCACACCAAACGCACCAAAGGTGCTCTAGACCACGCCAACTGATGCGGTCAAAATGGAACCCATTTGACCACACCAGTTGGTGTGGTCTCGGCCACCTTTGGTTTTTCAGTGCACGCATGGGCCGGCGAGTGCATGGTGCGTGAGCTCGGAATGGGTCTCTCACCGTGAGCCAGTGCGCGTCGACGGGCAGCCCGAACTGCCTGAAGACGGGCACCATGAAGGGCCTGAGTCCGGAGAGCCCCGTCCAGTGGTGGATCACGAAGAAGGAGATGACCAGCATGAGGGGCCACAGCGTCTCCCTGCGCCGCAGCGCGCGCAGCCCGTCCAGGTAGCGGCCTTGCGGCACCTCGTCGTCGGCCTGCTTGACGGCCTCGGTGACGGCGGCCGGCTTGGCGTCGTCCGCCACGAAGCCGCCGTTGCTGACGCCGTTGCTGACGCCGTTGGACTTGCGGCCGCCCTCCGCCGCCTTGGCGGCCTTGCCGCTCTTGGAGGGCAGCGCCGTCATCTCCGTGTTGTACCTGCGGCACGTCAATGCTGCTGGTTATCTGCCGGAGAGATTGTTGTGGCCACTCACACTGTAAAAAAAAATCTAGGGAACTTGTTCGAGAAAACGAAAATTGCCTCCGATCCTTTGAAAATTTTCCAAAGTTTCTAAAGTTTTTGTTTTGTATGAGTTTTCAATTGGTATAGTACAAAAACAACTTTTTGGGAAACCGAGTGTGTGGAAAGTACCCACGGAGCGCAATGCCCGGGATTTTCCAATTTATTACTAACAGTGCAGGAACCGCGGCGCCGACCTTGTCAAGTTGAACGGCAGGCTGCTGACGGCGTTGCGGCCGTAAAGGAGAGCTCCATACTTTGACTCATTGTTGTGGTACTCACTGCAGCAGGCCTGCCAGCTCGGTCTGGACGGCGGAGGCGGGCACCCAGCCACGCAGCCAGCACAGCGCGCGCTCCGCGTCCCGGACGCGACCCTTGGACACCAGCCACATGGGGGACTCCGGCACCTGGAGGGAACCGCGTTCATTTTCGGGGCGAGTTTTCGATACCCGTCTACCACAGTAGGCCAAAAATCTAAACGCGTTTTGAGCTCCAGAGTCAATAAATGGGACTCGAACCGAACGTGTGACCCCACCAATGGACTGCTCTCCGAACGAGCAATCCATTGGTGGGGTCACACGTACGGTTCGAGTCCCATTTAGCGACTCTGGAGCTCAAAACGCGCCCAGGATTTTGACCGCCTCCACCGGTCTTCTGGCCCGCACCGCGCCTCACCTGCGAGATGGCGATGACGGTGAGGACGGGCACGGCGACGCTGCCCCAGGCCGCGGTGCGCCAGGTGACCAGGGTGCCGAGCAGGTACTCGATGAAGAAGCCCAGCATGACGCTGATGCCCGCCATGGAGGTGAGGGCGCCGCGCAGCTTGGGCGTCGAGATCTCGCCGACGTACGTGATGATGGGCGCCTCCATGAAGCCCATGCCGAGGCCCATGAGCGCGGCCGCCGCGAACAGCGCGCCGTGGGTGCGCGCCGTGCTGAGCAGCAGCCAGGACAGCAGGTGCGGCGCGTTGACCAGCAGCATGGCGCGCTTGCGGCCCAGCGGCTCCAGCAGCAGCCCCGACAGCACCGACCCGAACGGCTGGCAGATGAGCATCAGGCTGCCTGCAGCAAGGGGCAACGTCAGGGGTCTTTCAACTCTATGCAGTAACTTCAAGAACATGTTCGTAAGTTAATCCAAGTATGTATTTGTGCTTGTTTACTTGGCCAGGTCTGGCATGCATTTGTCAGTGTGTACCTTCAAGTCAGCGTCGAGGCATCCAAGCCTGTAAATGATTACTAAGTTGACAGTTTGGTTTGCGGTGTGTTAGGACTTTTACTGACCGAACCAGGAGGCTTGCCACTCGTCGAAGGCGAGGCCGTACTCGTCCGGCTCCCTGGGGTGCTCCTTGGAGCCGAGGAGGGCGGCGATGACCACGGTGGGGAAGGCCAGGGTCATGCCGATGTCCAGCAGCAGCATGTTTTTGGCGCACGACGCCAGCACCTGCAAATCGCAAGACAGTTAGGTCGCAATCTTTCATTTCGAGCCCTTTGGATCGTGTTAGGCCATATTATAGGCATTGGAGAAATTAATTTTAGTGGATACGTCTGTCAGTTTGTATGGTAGTGAACTGTAGCGATAAGATCCATGTAAACGGTTGCTGGTTTTCTCAGGAACTCCCTGGAAATCGCCTATGTCCCTACCAATAGGCCTCCTAGGAAAACCAGGTACTGTTTTTACAGTGTTCCTTTTAAAGTGTACACTGGATGAGCCCCATACCTGCGGTATCGCCTCCCGGAGCGGGCTGACGGACCCTGGGTCCCGCGTTGCAGACGTTGCAGTGGCGAGCTCGGCCTGGGCCTGCTTCTCCTGCGCGGCAGAGTTGGCGACGGGGCCCGTCATGTTGGACCTGGAAACACACAAAAACGATCAAAGTTCCCGTCCGAATCGTCGCTACCTTACCTGGTACAAAAATGCAAATGGGGTTTGGAGGACGGTGGAGAAAGAATACATTGCTACACAGGTAAAACTAAACCGTAGTGTCACCCTCTACTGCGTGAACAGGTTCATCCATCCAGATTCCCCCTATCTAAATGCATGGGGGAATGTATAGTCCTTGCTTCATTTAAGATTAACGTTTGAATAACGTTTACAAATAATAACAAAGCTGCCACTTTATTGTTGGATCAAAACAAGAGCCGGCGATAACTTTTCAGAGGACAAGGTGAACTGCCCCCTCCCCCCCCCCCTCTCCCCTTGCACCCCATGGAATTCGGAGTTCAGCGACCGTAGGTGCTCCAAAGCTAGTCCAACTGCTGGAGTGAATAGTACATTGTTGTCGCTATTCTGCCCTGCACCACCCCGCCCCTGTTTTCCTCTTAGAGGCCTTTTCTAGATCCACAACACACGGAGTAGAGCAGGGCTCCCTCAGAGCCAAGCGCTTTGTCGCAGTGGCCTCGGCTCCGCGTCCAGCCGCACGTCGCTCTGTCTCTCTCGCACTCGTGGGGCGTTCCGGAGGGGTGCGAGAGAGACTGAGGGCCCTTCGCCTGCTGCGGCTGCTTCATCGCTCTGTCACTCTCGCACCTCTACGGCCCGCTCCACGAGTGCGAGAGAGACAGAGCGACGCTAAAGGCGGGTTCACGAGTCGCTTGCGGCGAGCTGCTCTGCGTTACGGTGAGCTGCTCTGCGCTACGGCAAGGTGCTCGGAATTCGTGCCTGCACACGAGTTTCTTTGCGTTGCGGAGACAGAGCTGCGGAAACGCTAGGCGCGGCTAGGCACGGCTCGGCGACACAACCTCCCCACCTGTAGAACCCCTACCCCACCCCCACTCGCAGGCGGCCCGCGTGGCCCGCGCAGTCCGCGTCGCCCGGCAGCCAGTGCAGCATCCCCCACTACTCCTGTCCTTGCGTTACGGCGACGTGCTTGCGGAGAATATCAAACGTGTTTGAAAATCAACGCAGGGCTCGTCACCGCAACGCAGCGACCTATGCGCGCAAGGAACTCCTGAACGGCACCGCCTGCGCCCACGCGCTTGATGCGGAGCGCCAACGCGTCGCAGGTCACCGCAACGCAGAGCAGCTCGCCGCAAGCGACTCGTGAACCCGCCTTAAGGGCGACCGTAATGAAGCCGTGGTGGGAATAGCGCGGCAATTTTCACACCTCTGCCTGTCTCTCTGTTCCGCTATTCGCAGTCCGGCGTCTCCTACACCGCAAGGCCATGCGTTATTCACAGGCGCCACTTTGCTCTTGTCTTTCCATAATTTTATTTTTCTCGCGCCAGAATGTCGGCGGTTCGCAACGCGTGTCCGGCGCGTCCTCTGCAGACTGATTCCGCGAGGCGTTCTGGTCTGTCTGTCTCTCTCGCACCTATATGGGACGCCGCGTGAGTGCGAGAGAGACAGAGCGACGAAAACGACTCTGCAGCGTGTCCAGCGGGGCGCAGCGAACCGAGGCAAGGCGGCGACGCGCGACTTGGACCGCACGGAACGAGACGACGTTACTTTTGTTTTGTTTTTCCAGGTACTACACTGAAAAACTAAGTGTGAAAACCGTGCAAGTACGGTTCGTGAGGCGAGTGTTGGACCACCACTGTACACGTTCCGGTCTCAGTCTAATCCATATTCACAGGACGGGCCAAAGTTGCCGCCGAGCCTCGCGCCATCCTCTCTTATTTTTAGCAACGAGGAGCTTGGGAGTGCCGTTGCTGACCGGAACCGGAATGACACTCCAAAATTATTCTTGCGCAGAAATGTCCCACTTTACAGAGACAATGGTGTTAGTAAAAGACAATCATTATTTCAAAGGTTTTTCTTTATCTGACAGTGAAAAAATAAAGAAGATTCTTTTTGTGAAGATAGAACACTACAAGATACATTGTCTGCATAGATCTGGGCTGTGGGAGTGGAGTGTACTTCGAAGCAACCTGCCATAGGGGTGTGCTTGTACAAGCACACATCTATAGGGGTGTACTTGGAAAAAGCACACATCTATAGGAGTGTACTTGGACAAGCACATATCCTTGGATTGTAGTCGTGCGAACACACTTTCATCCCACCCACTTAATAAGCACGCATCTGTCGGACACACAACTACGTGTACTAAGCACACATTTAGATCTTGCTGTGTATGCTTTTTAGGTCACTAAAGGTCAACCTTTTGGTCTCTTGGAGGCCCTTAAAATTTCGCCTAGAAGTCCTATACGCCTCTTCCAGGCATGAACTCGATGAAAACCGTTCGCACTCTGTCAGGGCATCTAATTTTCATGCCCTTGTTTTACCAGTGTGCTATCGCCGCGACACCGCACGCAGGGAAAAGCAGGCAGCCGATGACGGATTCGATAACCTCCCGGGCCGCCCCGAAGCAGGTCACAGTTTCGAACAGTGCTCGCGAGTCGACGCTCTGTCTCTCTCGCACACTTACGAAACGCCCCATGAGTGTGAGAGAGACAGAGCGCTGACGCGCACTGTTTGGACTCATCCTACATTGCAGAGTGCGAAAGAGAGCGGCAGAGAGAGAGAGAGAGAGAGAGAGAGAGAGAGAGAGAGAGAGAGAGAGAGAGAGAGACCTAGAGAGCGGCCTAGTCGTATCAGTTTTAGCGCACGCATATCGTGCTATTTGTCCCCCCTCCCGTCGGTGCCCTTGTGCCCCTGGCTCGGCCGTCCAGGCCGTTCACCGAGGCTGTCTCGTGTGACGTCACCGCCAGCCGACCCGACGCGGCCAAATCGCGTGGTGCACTGTTTGAAGCAGGTGTCCAGCGGCGCCGGCGGCCGAAATTCTGGACGCGTTTTGAGCTCCAGAGTCGTTAAAGAGTACTCGAAGCGAACGTGTGACCCCACCAATCGATTCCTCGCTCGAAGAGCAATCCATTGGTGGGGTCACACGTTCGGTTCGAGTCCCATTCGGCGACTCTGGAGCTCAAAACGCGTCCGGGATTTTGACCGCCTCCACCGGTCTTCTGGCCCACTGTGTTGTTTAGGCACTGAAAGGTGCGGCGGCTCTCGGCCGAGTTGCCGGAAAAGAAGACGGAACATGACGAGTGCGAAAACAAGGAACAAGGAAAGGAGTAGCAAGGCACATCCTCGCTCGATTCAGGGACAGGACCTCCCGGCGTGGCCAGCATCGCCAGCATCCAATGCGCAAGCGAGAACGGAGAGTGCACTGTAACGAAGAAAAAATACACCGATGAAAGAGAGAACATTGCGTAGACTGAAAATATCGTGATAGGCCTTACATTTTCGATCAGTACGTCATCAAAGGTTTCTTCGAGAGGGGAACAGCTTCCCACATTCATTGTACAAAATTTGACCACATTCCACATTCAGGAGACTAAAACGCTTGTAAGTAGGCGACATGTGTGGCAAAAAAGCCAGAAATCTTGCACATTCTTGCACATTTACACAATCACTGTACACAAAATTTTACAGTGGGTCACCCCTCGGGTTTCTTGCGTTTCGAGCCCGCAACAAAGTCGATGATTCCTTTGCAAAATTTTTGATCGTGGTTTATTAACACCATGTGGCGCTAGTACAAATTTGTATACTGCGAAATTTCACACGCGTTCTTGGCACCCCTGCGTTCAGTTTTTCTTACAAAAAGCTGCACACACCGAGGATTTTTATTTAGTTTTGCACACAATTGTACGAAAAAGTGATGTTAGTGACGTGCACAGAAAGCGTGAGGCCCATTGCAAAGACATTTTGCGTTGGTGACAAAAGAGGAGGCGCCTTTCAATGCCGAGAGGAAGATAACTCGCAGAGAGAGAGAGAGAGAGAGAGAGAGAGAGAGAGAGAGAGAGAGAGAGAGAGAGAGAGAGAGAGAGAGAGAGAGAGAGAAGCGGAAGGAGGAACAGCGAGTGGGAGGGAGAGAGAGAGGCGGGAAGGGCGGGGGGACGCTGCTGAGATGTGTTTCGGCGACCCCGGCCAGCCGGCTGGGCTGGGCAACTGGCTACGTAGGGCTTTAATAAGTTTTGCATGGCGGATCGGTGTCGGCCTGGCTGCTTGGCCTGGCTGCCTGGCGGCGGCCCGACGGTGCGGCTTGCGGTCAGTGGATCGCGATTATTCACTTGGCACACCAACCGAGCGGTTCCGCTCTGTCTCTCTCGCACCCTTACGGAACCCCCGTGAGTGCGACAGAGACAGAGCGACGGAACGGACACTTCGGCATCGACCTTGTTCAACACGCGAGGGATGCGCACTGTTAATCCGAAACCTCATTGTTGTTGACGTCATTGACGAGATTGCGAATCGCCTGCAGAGTTTTTAGTGCAAGTAATTTGGTTTAATGTGCTGTGGAGACTGCAGTGCGATATGGGGCGGACATTGACGCAAACTGGTGCATCAGGGCTTCAAATTTGCCCTTAATCCGGGCATCGAGAACTCGAGAACGTTAGCATGCAGCAAGGAGGTTTGAGACACTGTCTGGAGACAGTCTATCACGATCCCAGGCAACCAACCAGGAGTGTCGAAAACATAATCCAGAGCAAGGGACCCTCCACCAACAAATCGTTCGCAATTTACAATCGACGTGCAGTCTAAAACCACCTGCAGCATTCTGAATTTCTTCGTAAGCCATTTCCCTGGGTGTTTTGCGGTGCTGTACAGGAGCCAGCCCGGCCGCTCGGCCTCGTCTCGCCCTCGGCGATTTGCATGGGCTGGATAGGCACTGTCGGGCCTTCCCGTAAAAGTGTGAAAAAACCTGTCACTGGCCCCGAGCTTTTTGCGTTGGGCGACCTCCAACAGGTGGCCCCCGTGTTGCAGTGAAATACGGGCTGCGCCGAACCGTCACGCTCGCTGTACCGCACCGTCCAACGTGTTGTGTTTAGTCTCATTTTCGCGGTTTTGCGGAGAGCGATGAAATGATGTCTGTTGGACATCGGTACCGCCCCTAACGACCTGAAGTGACGTACACTG